CCATATCAAGGAGGCGACATTAAAGAAAAGAATCGCAGCGCACTATAACTTAAAAAGTTATTAAACGAGGTTTCGATATAGGAGACTTAGTCCTACGAACAGCAAACATAGGAAATAAGAACGCGCGACAAGGGAAGTTAGCCGCAAATTGGGAAGGTCCGTATCGCATTCAGAACAAAACTGAGAATGGTGCATACATCATTGAGACGCTATCCGGACTTACCATTCCGCGCACATGGAACGTGGATAAGCTTAAGAAATTTTTTAGTTAAATCTTTTCTTTTTGGGGATATTTGTCTTTCCAATTTATCAAATAAAGATTGAGGATTTCTACATTATTGATATATACATTGCGCACATTCATATATGATTAATATACCCATCGCGCATAAAGAAAAAAGGAATATGATCAAACACGATCAAACTTCCTAAAAAATAACACGCGATATAGCAAAGCACGATGAAAATCACGAAAGGAAGATAATGAGACTTCCTCCAAATTAAAGGACCCTCCAAATTAAAAAGGATCCTAAAAAAGGACCCTCCAAATAAAAAGATCCTCTAAAAGGATCCCCAAAAAGGACCCTCCAAATTAAAAGATCCTCTAAAATGACCCTCTAAATTAAAAAGGATCTTCAAAAAGGACCCTCCAAATAAAAGGATCATCCAAAAGGACCCTCCAAATTAAAGGACCCTCTAAAACGACCCACCAAATAAAAGGATTCTCCAAAAGGACCCTCCAAATGAAAGGATCGTCTAAAAGGACCCTCCAAATGAAAGGATCCTCAAAAAAGGACCCTCCAAATTAAAGGATCCTTCAAAAGGACCCTCCCAATGAAAGGATCCTCCAAAAGGACCCTCCAAATAGAAGGAAGATAATGAAACTTCCTCCAAGCTACAGCGCGATAAAGCATATGCAAGGAAGATAAAGCCTTAACTGGTTAAAATCTCCTTCAAACTACAGCGCGATAATGATCACGAAAGGAAGTAATGTGTAACGCCTGGCCGCTTCAAGAATCAATGACTATCCCCACATACTAACATGAGACTTTTCACTGTACTTTTTCCTCACTCGCACACTTGCCGAGAAAACTTCCCAGGAGGTCACCCATCCCATAATTGCTCCAAGTCAAGCACGCTTAACTGTAGAATTCTTCCGTTCTGGGCTACCGAAAAGAAGATGCATCTTGTTTTCATTTGTGGTATCAGAGCAGGGCCTCTCTTCCAGTACGGTGTGGTTCGAGGACGAACCAGGCGGAAGCTGGTGGGCATGTAACATTCTGGGCGCTGACGAAGGCAGGGAGTGATCGCCGGTGCGAAAGGGTATGGTACAAAAGGGCATAAAAAAGGAGCGGCTCCTGGTAGGCTTCTAGGGACGGGGGTACATGAATGAATCGAATCAACACCCGAAAGAGAGGGATTCCAGAGACTGTGCTGGTATGGGAAGGTACAGTTGGGAATGACCTATAAGAATTAATTGGTACTACCTATACTAACAAGATGCATCTACTTTTTGGTAACCCGGAACAGAAGAACTTCATAGTTAAACGTGCTTGACTTGGAGCAATTCTGGGATGGGTGACCTCCTGGGAAGTTTTCCCGGAAAGTGTGCGAGTGAGGACAAAGCACGCTGAAAAGTCTCGTGTTAGTGTGTGGGGACAGTCGTTGATCCTTGCAAGTTGCCAGGCGTTATAAGTGGTATCAGAGCAGGACCTCTCTTCCAGTACGGTGTGGTTCGAGGACGAACCAGGCGGAAGCTGGTGGGCATGTAACATCCCGGGCGCTGACGAGGGCGGGGAGTGATCGCCGGTGCGAAAGGGCATGGACAAGGAGCAGCTCCTGGCAGGCTTCCAGCGACGGGGGTACATGAATGAATCGAATCAACACCCGAAAGAGAGGGATTCCAGAGACTGTGCTGGTATGGGACGGTACAGTTGGGAATAGCTTATAAGAATTAATTGGTACTACTTATACTAACAAGATGCATCTTCTTTTCGGTAGCCCGGAACGGAAGAACTCCATAGTTAAGCGTGCTTGACTTGGAGCAATTCTGGGATGGGTGACCTCCTGGAAAGTTTTCCCGGGAAGTGTGCAAGTGAGAAAAAAGCACACTGAAAAGTCTCGTGTTAGTATGTGGAGATAGTCGTTGATTCTTGAAGCGGCCGGGCGTTACATAAAGACTTCCAAACACGCACACAAGTTCCTTGATAAGGTACAAGGGAGCAACCCCAATATCGTCAAGAAGAGAAGAAGGACAAGAAGGTAATACTCTTTAAAAGTTATCAACTTGGTAAGTTACGCTGAAAGTATTTTTTATCTTATTCTTCGTTAGAAGAACATTAATGAAAATCATTCAACGCAATGATACATGCATGGTATGTAGTCATAAAACATCTTTCTGAAAGAAGACAACATATATCTTGAAGCCATTACGGCTTACACAAAATTAACATTGTTCCGTAAAAGGCGGGGCTAATCCCCTTACAAACCATAATCCAAACAACAAGAAGTACATCAATAAAAATCAAATTGTTTGAATGGACATGTCTTGAGGACCCTCATTTACTTATGCGCAATCCTCAACCTCAGTTGTTGGCCCTTGAAGGGTTGGCTCTTGGACGGATGACGCGATGGTCTCAGTATCCATCGTGCTAATTAAATCTACCAGAACCTCTTCATCTTTGTCATTTAAGGTCATCAATTGACCATTCTTCACTTAGTAGAGATAATGGACGTTGTCCAACTTAACTGACGGGTTGAAAAGGCGCACTTGCTTAAAAATGTTAGTATAGGTCCCTTCAGCTGCCTTCTCGAACAAATCTTGGAACCTCTTTACTTCGCCATTCAACTGGGCTTCTTTCTCTTTCCAGGTATCAGCGTTTCCCTCTAACTCCAGGACGCGCTTGTTTAAGTCAATTTTCTCTGACTTTAATTCTTTATTTGCCGCCTTCACCTCTTTCAACTCCTGTTTCACCATCGCCATCTCATCCTCAGCCTTCTTTAATTTTTCTTCAAAGCTTGTGCTCTGTTGAACGATCTCACCCTTTAATTCGTCAATGCGTTCCTTCAAGAAATCAACAGAGCCTGCTACATAGAATATGTTATAACTAAAAGATTGATGTCACATTTAAAATGTACAAAGCGACAAATAGTTACTTACCAGGCACGAACATAATGAATTGATTCGCTATACTTAGCTTCGCAGAAGTCCCCAACCATTTTTCCCTTGGTAGCGCTTCAATACGCGGACTTATTTCTCTGCCCTTAGCAAACATGTCCTTATCAAACTCCCAGCCATCACCAAAATAAATGAGGTCTGGGAAACCCACGTTAATCTCCTCAAATTTCCTTTTGTCCCTTCGAGGCACCTTCTACCTCTTTTTCAGGGGGGACGACATTCATGGGGGCAGCTGGAGGACCTGGTGATTTCATTGGTGATTTCATTCGCGCGGTGGCACCCTCGCTTGATTCAGCACTAGTGGCGGTAGCAGACATGAAAGGCTTAGTAGGCATGGAAGGGCCGACATTTGCAGCACCTCGCATGGGTGCTATCTTCTCCAACCTACTCAAAGAAGTAGCCATTGAACTATCTGCAACAAATTAAAAAAAGCAGTTCGCGTTAGATATATACAAATCCAAAACACAAAATAAACAAAATTCTTTATGTTGAAATCCACAAACAAATAAAGGTCGAAATTACCCAAAAAGGCTCAAATTTCATCATCAGTATATTCGTTCAAAATTGTAGGCCCATTAGAGGCCCAATAACATACAAAGGAGCCCAAACTCATGAAGGGTCCAGAATTAAGCGCGATGGTCAACATTGCGCGCATAGCAAGACGCGATGCCCCCATCGCTCATGAAATCGCCCTTTGGTATAAGATCCAGAGATAAGGAAGTTAACTTAAAAACCAAGTCAAGTTCACCGCGCTTTTGAACTAATAAACAGATGACAGCACCAACTCGCCGCGACTCTATCAAGATAGCTTGGCACTAAGAAGATAAGGCTACTTAGGTCCTAGCCTGACCTGCAGCCCAAACATGGCCAATCAGAAGCCATACCGCCTTATGAAGGCAGCATCAGAACCGCCTTATGAAGGCGGCATCAGAACCGCTATATAAGCAGATGGTACATACCAGGTACATCTATCTAATTCATTTAGAACATATATACACTTGCCTCTGATACTGACTTAAGCATCATAGTGTCTTTGCAGGTACCCTCATCCAGTCTCATCGCGCCAATAAAGGACAAGAACACATTGATCCTGATCAACCACTCAAAGCCCAAGAAGAAGAGCATCCACTCCACATCAAGCGTGTGTGATTAGGCCCGACATACTTTGGGCAGTCCATATTGTATTTGGTCTGATCACTAACTATACTAAATTACATCGTCATCATAATCAGTTATTATAAATAAATGTCAAAAATAACTCAAGACTTTACCATATTGGAATTTAAATTTGCTCTTATAGATACCAATAGTCTAATTAATCAAAATAATTACTTTACATATCAAAGTTAAATCAATTAAAATTCATCATCATAATTTAAATACCCATTATATGCTAACTAGACTTAATTATTTCATTATCATAATAAATTAAGATAAATAAAACATCATACAACATATTAAACTAATTACCTTTTTCTGGAGCTTCGCCCCTTAATGTTATCAAAAAAAAAAAAATACCTTTTTCAAATTAAATAATTATGCAAATTTATTAATCTGGCAGCACCCCTCTTTTTTTTTCTTTTCTTTCCACCTTCGGTTGCCAAAGACATTAGACAATGTAGAAAAACATCTTTGCACGAACAACGCTGTAAAATTCGTTCACTGCTAGCTAAATCGGTCAGTCAGCATTCCTATGTCATGTGCAATAATTCAAACCTACCATTCCGCCAGTGAGATAAATCAAACCAAACATTCAAATACCAACTAGCTGGTAGTTCAGGCTAACATCGGTTGAAGATGAATCATTTGTTATAAAGTAGCAGATTCACATAATCTCAGAGTCCCAATCAAGCAAGAGCTGCTAGATCCCACAACCAAGCAGAGGCGTTTCAATTAATCACCTCAACAAATCCAGGCAAATCTGAACCTGGTACGCATTTTTTGCTCTTCAAATGTTATAGCAATCACGTACAGAATTTTGATTGCTTCTATTCTCTTTCTTTTAGTTGTTTCTTAGTAATCAAGTTGGTATTAAGTGTTCAAACGTGGGATTTCAAGGGGGAACGTTTCATCTAGGAAGCCTTCAATATACTTCGCCACTATCAAATTTTTAGGGATACATACGCTTACGGTGAAATTTAAAAGATCAAACCGTATAATGATTGAAATTGCAGAAACAAAATCTTAGGCTTCACTGAAGAAATGAAAGTAGAATATGTAGCAGAAATTAAACATTTTACGAACATGTGGCAGTTAAAAGACATACACTCTATTTATACAAGATATCACTATTCCCTTCTCCCAATTATGGTTACTAATTGTGTTGAATTGTTCAACAACAAAATCAGCCACATTGTCCTATAGACAAAGCAAATATCAGTGATAACACAGCTCAACAAGTTTGAGAATGCATGTAATGTCACGTTTCATAATCTACAAATCTCAAGGGAGAACTTTAAAACCCTTGATGCAAGCTTTGCCCCTCCAAACATAGAAAAGACTGGCTTCTTATCTAAAGATTACCCTTGGATTCTGAGAATCATCCAAGAAAGTAGAGCACCACTGATGACTCTCTTTTTCTAGGTATGTTCAATCTTTTCAGCGAATTGGGTGATATTGTGTGATACCACGCTTGGGTGGCAGCTTCCTCAAAATGAAAAGGACCAAAGAAGAAGGCAATATTTCCACCAACTGCAACAAAAATGTGAAAAGGGTAAGAGGAATAGTGGGAGATGGATACTTTTGACAAAGTAGAAGCCATACAAACACCCTTTTTGATGGCTTACCCTAGAGATAGTTTTAAAGTATTAACCAATAGAATGCTTGTTTTATCATTGTCAATTATAATCGAGTAAAGAATTTCTAAAAGTATGGTAAAAACATAATTATTGAGACCTCACAATAGCAATCCAATACCCCTTCCAAATGGAAATCAGAACATTAATTAGCAATATTTTATGAGGAACAAAATTTGCATCTATGGATGGAAAATTGTTCACGAGATATATCCTCACAGATGACTTATTATCCGATTTAACAACTCTCTTTCCATTTAGGTTGCAGGGTAACATAGTAATGTCAAATACCAGAAAAAAAGCTTAATTTAAGTAGGCAAAAGTTGGGGTGAGAGAAAATTTTTGGCAGGTAGTATGTCAGAGCTTTCATTTCTAACATAAAAGCAAAAGTAACCAGATAAGCTGTTACGGACCTTAAGGTCACCACCCCAAAAGATAGCTCAAAGGATAGGAGTGCCCAAGGCCTTATAAACCCCACATTAGTTGTATAGGCAACCGATGTGGGACTCATAACATTACCACTCCCTTTTAAGTGCCAACGTCCATGGCGACTTTCACTCTATCGACACCTGGTGGTAGGCCTTTCCCTTTTTGCGGCTTCACTCATCTATCAGTATTTAATGCAATACCCTTTTGAGAGGTATGACACCTTAATCCAGCCTATAAGTAACTTTTTCCGTGGCCTCAACTCTCAATAAAAGCACCAATTATTACGGACCTTGAGATCATCACCCCAAAAGCTAGCTCAAAAGATGAGAGGGTCTAAGGCCTTATAAATCCCATATTAGTTGTATACGCAACCAATATAAGACTTGTAACATAAGCATAAAACATACCCAAATATAGAAATGATAACTAGAATAGCACAAAAATAGGAAACAGTAAGGAGCCAGTGGCCTTGTAGCCTAGTAGCATCTCCATTGATAAACAGGGGTCTGTGGTTTTCAAGGTGGAGATTTCGAACACCCGTAACCTATTCCCCACCTAGATCCCAATTGGGGTCTCCTACCTTACCACAATTTAAAAAAATAAAAAAATTAAGGAGTATGGCAATAAAAGCACCGCAATAAAGGAAGACAACCTTACCAGGTAATATATAAAGTTTAGAATAGGATGGTCCAAGACATCAAGGTTCGCATTTTTATCAAATGCATTAAAGCACATCTGACACAATAAAATACAATCAAACTCAATTTGAAAACCAAGCAATAAGAATAACTGGGAATTGAAAATAAAAAGGTGCTCACTGCTCACCATAATGGATCTGACAAGGAAGCATAAAAAACATATGGTCGTCACATAGCCAACCTACAGTAAAAACATCATGTACTATTGTGAGAATATATTTAAAATATCTTTAGATTATCCACAACATATTCAATTAATATTCTCTTTCTTTTTCTCTACATAAGCCCTATAATTTTAACATGGTACTAAAACAATACCATCCTATGCAATCTAGTCCTCAGGTCCTGTCACCATTCCACTGCCAAGTTTTCTAAAACCAGGAACTCCACTACTGCTATATCCTCATCCCCATGATTCTTTTACTCAAGTTTTTCCTTCTACACAGTATTGTTTCACCGTGTTTCTCTTTACAGTAACCTCTTTTTTTTTTATTATTATTATTCTGAAGTGTCTCTGCCCTGTATCTATTTGACAAACCCTAACCACAGTCCCATTGGGCAGCAAATTTTTTTTGTCATACCTCAATTCTGGCATTCTCTTTCCTTGCCATATCTCAAATCTGGTGGGTCTCTTCCTACCAACAATGTTTCCAGCGGTGACTTTTCTACACATTAACAACTACTGACTTTTCTTACTATCCTGAATCATACGAATGGTGATTTCTCCTATGCAACCCATGAGCCACTGCCGTTGTGTTATCTGTCTAGCAATGCTTATCTCTCCAATATCTCTAGCATCCTTTAGTTACCTCTCCTTTTATGTTTTGTGGAGCCCAATTTAAATTTATTTTCATTTAAAGTGTTCATTGATAACAAGCTTAAAGCTTAGTGAAGTTTAACGGGTAATGTTAGAATATATTTCATATCTACTAAAGAAAAAAAATAATATCTTAGAATATATTGTGGTGTCAATCAGTCATCTAATTTAGGAAGCTATCTGTTTTGGAGACATGACTTGGCCCAATTTAGGCTCATCATCAACTAGGGCCATTAACTAGAGGCGAAATCCTAAAATTTATGGGACATCTACAATGCTAGGGCACCCGCCTCATGCCTCTCATACACTCACAGGGTGTTCACCCTCACATCTGATCTCAGGATATGCATCTTTACATTTATACACTCCACCCTTGCTCATATAATGTCTTGAGCATCAAAGTCACCAAGGTGCATGGAGGAGCCACCTTGAATCACCGTCAGATCCTCCTCAACGTAAGCTCAAGAACATCACAATTTGTCCAGGTTAACACTATATGAACATCACAATCTGAACACCATCTTGGAAGTTATTTCCTAATTTTGTTGTTAGTTACCTTATTTAATTACAGGGTGAGGCTATTGGCACTCTCAATTTCTTATTCAGTCTAACAACTCATAACTTACTAAATTCCCCTTAGCAAATAATTTTTAAACGAAAGTTGAATTTCAATTAAATATATTAATATTTGCCTATGAAGTTGGAGGAGAGCCTTGACACATAGGTCATGTGACCTCAATTCATGTAGTCAACCTCTTGCAAATCTAAGGTAAAACTGCCTACTATAGATCTTTCCCTGGAGTCTAAATAGAGCGGGAGCTTCATAGCACTAGGTTATCCTTTCTGAAGGGGACACTTGACATAACAGTTCATGTTGTTGTCATGTGACCCAGAGGTCATAGATACAAATCAAGTAACCAACATCCTGCAAATTCAAGGTAAGGCATGGACCAAGACAATTAGTTGCTTCCCTAAATCCTGCGTATAGTGGGAGCGTTATAGCATCACGTTACCCTTTTAATATTTGTTTATCAACACTCCACACAATATTAGTTATTTATATTTTTGCTTATGTTTATTTATATTATTTAAATTGCCTTTTATCTTTTTTCTGGTTAGCTTGCTTATCACACATTTAAATTTTAACAAGTTACTCGTAGTATTTTCTCTTTATCGGAACATGACATAGCTAGAATTATTTGATGACCTTGGTTTCAAAATTTAGGTAATTAATTATATTGAGACACATTTCATACCAAGAGCTGCAGGCTTTTGCGTTGTATTTAGAATTTTTTTCAGAGAAAAAAAGAGTTTTGGCATATAAAAAAGATAATAATATTGATTAACTCAGAATCTGAAAAGATAAACAGTAATGTCATTAATTAATAATACTAAATTCAACATAATTTTTTTAGGTGAGAGTAATTTAGGAAATTATGAATTGATAATAGGGAGTGTTTATAGGCAATTGGCAGTACCAATGGCCTCACTCCTAAATTTGGGTTAGTAGTGGCCTTGGGCTGATATTAATTTCTTACCCTGATTATTAGTATAAAAACGATCATTGCGTTAGCATCGTGTATGATATAATCACACACCATATCAATATAATCTTATATTAAAGAGCCTGCTTGACACATTTTTTTAAGCTAAAAGCTACTTTTAAGCTAAAGTTAAAATAAAAAAGATTAAAAAATAAAACTAAATGCTGTTTGATTATTATATAAAGCTGTTATGAGGGTTTTGAAGGAGAGAAGATGAAATAATTTGTTATTAGAATAAATTATTAAGGTAAAGAGTAAAATTGGTAAATACAAATTTAGAATAAGGGTGAAACTGAAAAATAAATATTAGAATTCTAAAAAGCTAGTATATATCTTAAAAAAAGTTCCTCTTGGAAGCTTTTAGTTTTTGCTTTTTTTATTCATTATAACAAAAAACTCTTTTCATAATAAGAGCTTTCATAAAAACATGTTTGGCTAAGCTTCTACTTATAAGGAATAGAGAACCTAAAAATAAGACTTCCCAAATAGCCATTAAGGGCCTGTTTGAAATGTGTTTCGAAAAAACAATTTTTTGATTTTTAGAACAAAAAAAAAAAACACTTTCTGATAAGGCCTGTTTTGTAAAATAAAATTAAAAAATGTAACTGTTTTATTTATTTATTTTAGAATCAAATTTAAAGAACATATTTGAGTTGTTTTTATTTTGTATTTTGACTTTTAACTTTCAAAATAAAAAAAATAGAAAACAACAATTTCATTAATTATTCTACAAAACAGTTTTAAAAACAAAAAAAACCAAAACACAATCAAACGGATCCTAATTATTCCTTTTTTCTTCCCTTTCCTCTATTTAAGCCCTATAATTATAACAAAGATTAACTCAGAGTCAAAGAGAGGGAGGGGAGAAGAGGAATAGCAGATTGAACTTAAAAAATTCCTCAACAAATTGCATACCTCTTGCAGCTTCTTACGTCGCCCTTTGGATTCAACAGGAAAGCGTTGCAGCATCAAGAATAGTCTATCAAAGAACATAGTCAGAAAGGGCATGCAAAATCAGTGAGAGGGTACAACAGATGATGTAGTTAACATTAAAAATTTAATTTACAAATGGAATTAAAAGTCCGTGATTTATTCTCTTCATCTGCCTCAATTTTTCATCTTTGATAAAAGAAAATTTATTTGGGAAAAAGAGAAGACACATAGAAAGAGAAGGATAATGCATGCTCATAAACAGAGAAAGAAAAATAAAATAGTGAGTCACAAATTCAAAAATATAAAGCTTTCCAATCTTGCTGCATATCAGACAGTCCACCCTTTAAAAAATCATGAGTAGGGCACCAGAGGAGTCATCAACCCAAACAAATAGAAACCAAAACCAGTAGTGCAAAAGATATATGCCTTTAAAATAAACTTCCAAGGACTTGCATGAGTATGAGTAACAGCAGTCTTTGAGTTAGTTCTGATTTGAACTGGGTATCATAATGTAAGTAGTTTGTAAAGGGAAATGTCATAACCTATCTAACATTTAGCACCCACTCAACGTGGATGCACTAAAGGCGTAAAAAGGATCCGCACTGGAGGTGGCGACTATTAAAGCAAAAGGATACTAGATCGGGAGCTTTGATTACAGTATGAAAGGAGAAAACTAAAATATTATTGCTTTATTAAGTTAACATGTACAAATGGTTACATTATATATAGAGACTAATAGGTCTGATGGGTCGAAGAGAATAAACCCAAATCCTATAATAAGGATACACTACTCTAGCTGATAAAGGAAATACAATAATTACAAATGTTTACAACATTTTGTATTTTAGGGAAGATTATACGATTTGGGTTACAATCACACAATTTACGCCTGATTGTAAATATTCTTAGCACCACATCAATCAAAATGACACATCACACTGTGAGAAAGCTGTGATATGCTGTGCCATGAACAATCTGATTCTATCATCTATATTAATAAATATTCTGTAACATATTTCGTTCCAAGAATTAGGCACTTTTCCTCTTTCTTGTTGATGGAGATCTTGGTTAAAATCATATATACCAAAACCAGTACACTAGTGCAAGAAAATTCAGAGAAGTAAGACCAGATAACAAATTTTGACAGGAGGAATCAAGACAGAAAGGAACGGATTAACCATAGAATGATAGAATTGAGAATAATTCATTTGTGAAGAATTCAAACATAGGTAAAGAATTAAAGATCAGTCTGCGTTTGAATTAATAGATCTAACAATTACAATAAACTATTTAAATGGGATGAAGAGAATCCACACAAATACCTTATAAAGTTAAATTTTAGTTGCTATTATGAATTATGAAAAGAACTTCATTAAAAGGTAGGGCCTTGAATACAGATAGATACCAATCTACAAAGAATGTATACCCAAGCCCATGTCCTTGACTATTTGAATTTCATCAGTCTGGAATGGCAGCAAAGATTAACCAACAGCAAAGACTAAGGCACATAACTTCCAGTTATGCTAATGCAAGGAGTTGCTTTTCTTCTTCACTATTTCTTCAGAAACAAAATTCCTAACTCAATGAGTGGTATCTTGTAACCTAGATGCAAGAATTTCATTCAAAGGCACAATAAAGGAAGTTGAAAACTGAAACATACAATTACCTTCCACCATAAAGAAGAAAGCCAAGAGCTGCAAACAAAGAGACCCCTATGGCAACATATATATAATATGAATTAGCAAAAACTGATAAAAGTCACGATCAATAGCAAAGACAAACCAAATATCAAGCATAGACAAACCTGCAAAGAACATCTTAGACAAAATGACCAGTACGCTGACAGGTTTCCACCATAATATCAACCACAAAGTAATCTGGCAAACATTAAACCAAAACATAAGATGGGTCATCTAACAAACTCAAAACTAGTCAACATGAAAGCAACTGCCATTTAAAACTTTCAATACACATTAAAATAAGAACCAAAGGTCAATCATTATACATCATTTTGGGGACATAACTAGAAAGAAAAGTAGAAGCACGGATTTGATTGCATGTTTTTTAATTAATCCCATCTAATCCACACACACACATTTTTATCTAATAAGAATAAGAAAAATACTTTAATTAAATTAGCATTCAATTTATTTTTTGTTTGACTAGATTATTTTTAAGAGAATATATGTGGAAAAAAGCATAAATTTTTCAAAATTACAAATTTGAAAACACATTAAGCCTCAAATGTTCAATTAATACAAGGCTTAATATCGGCTAATTAAGTTTGAGTAGCTCGACTCAATTCCAGCCATATATAGAGAGAGGATCACAGGAAGCTATGAGAGAGGGAGTTGCTTATCAATAGGAGGAGGCCTATATCAAAAAAGCTAGAAAGTGACAACATATTAGCTCTTGATGATGATCCAAGATAAAATAAAAAAATCAAAATCAAAATTTTGAATCAAGCTTGTTACAAAATACTTGTGTTTTACTCTCTTAGAAATATATAAATATTACTCTCTTTTCCTTCATATCTCTACAATCATAACCTTGCAATGAACTACATAGGAAAACCGCTGCCAAGCAGTGGGGTTTTACAACGGGAGAGAGAGAGAGAGAGTGTGTTACGAGACGAGAGATCTCGATAGGATTTTGCAAGATGGTCATAATGGTAATATACATCAGAAAAATGGGAGAAAAGTTCGATTTTACCCCTTAAATGTTGTCGGTACACTACACACAGGAGCAAAGAGAGAATTTACCCTGCCTTCAATGAGCGGCAGTTTGCCACAATTTTGGCTGCAGTACCTGCCACTACAGAAAACCATTGCATGGCATTTTGGAATTAGCGGAAGGGGGCAGCTACTTGATGCAACGCAGCAATAGTGGCGCTATTGCACACGATTCATAACTAATAGCGTATTATGTATTTTGCCTTTACATTCACATGCACTTCTGTATTTGGATTGGAAGGATACTAGTAGACTGTAATACTGTTGTCTCTGGTGCATCAGCATCAATGTTGTTAAAATCGAGTTCTTAAGTAAGATCGGAAAGGGATTAAAAAATCGTAAACCGTAAAATCGTAATGTAAAAAAATCGTAAAAACGTTAACGCGTTTGAAATTTTAGTAAAATTGTTTTGATGAAAAAAAATCGTAAAATCGTAGTGATAAATCGAGATTTTAACAACAATGATCAGTATCTAGAGTAGCATAGTTACCCCAGTAGTTAGTTGGTTAGTGACCTGTTAGTTTGTTATGAGGGTTGTCAGTTCTGTTTCTGTTAATTAGTTGTGACAACTGTCAGTTCTGTTATGCCCTAACAGAACTCTTAGTTTGCTTAGCAAGCTTCCTGGTTGTCTATAAATAGGACACTCAGTTGTACAGAAAGCTTTCAGATTCAATAATACAGAATCATTCAGTTTCTGTTCTCTCTCTATATACTCTATCTTTTTCTCACTTTCACTCAAACTCGTTCAATAATCTAGGTCTATACTAGGGAGCTTTATCTTGCATTTGCAAGAGGCTGATTACCTAACTCAAATCTGCGACCTCATGGTCACATGGCGACAAAAACAACCATTGTACATAGGCTCACCTATATTTATATGTTATTAGCCATTTTTATCTGATTAATCAGTTTTAACATTTAATTAAATTTTAAGTATAATGCCCATTAGGTCATGATAATGGATTTGTGTTTGATGTTCTAATACTATCTTCAAACATCCATTTATCGAAACACCTTTCCGAATCTTTTTTTTTTTTTTTTTGGATATAACACCTTTATGTATCTAATCATTCACTTTAGAACCAAAGTGCCAAACTACTCGGTTAGAGAAGTATATAAACCATTGATGGGCCTTCACTCACTAGCTTAAGTTTTCGGGTTGAATTGGTTCTTTACATGATATCAGAGCCTCGGTGTCCCGGGTTCAATCCTCGCGCTCCCCATTTTCTTTGTGAAATTTCTTAGCACAAGAAGGCTGGGCTTGATGCATCATTCACCTTTCAAGCCCAATAAGCTATCTTATGAGAAGGCGTGTTAGAGAAGTATATAAACCATTGATGGGCCTTCATGCACTAGCTTAAGCTTTTGGGTTGAATTGGTTCTTTACATGCTCCATTGTCCATATCACTTTAGACATTCAATAAATGCAGTTGCATCCAAATTTTATAGAACCATCCTAAATTTTCACTTGCTATTTGATTACATTCAGATTTTTAAATAGCAGATATAGACATATCTAATCTTCATATCTTTACAGTATCCAACATATTACTAGATACACAAAACTTCGTCAAATCATATATTGCCCAGCTGTTTGAATGTAGTAAGAACTACATCAATTCTAGTTTCTACATAAATTAAGAAATACAAAAGCAAATATGGAAACCGGCTGCATGACCTCAAAAAATACACAAAAAATATTCAAACTACAGCTGTGAATGACCACAAGTGGAAACTTGGACTAGGATTTTCACCTGAACAGCATAAACCACCACATTAATTGTATAGAAACTTGGTTTCAGTCCATCAGTAGATACAGCTCGTGCCTGCAAAAACATTTACCACCAAGGGCGACGATCAACCCACCGAAACAACAAAATTCACTGCAAATTAAACAAGAAAATCACAACGCAAACAGACCACAGAGTAAATGCACCAAAGTCAAACTTGCCTGGTAATAAATCTCAGCCCAGAACAGGACCAAAAGCGCATACGTTGTAAAGAAAGCGAGACTTGGCAAGTCAAGTAAGATATGTTGGACAATCTACACACATAAACAAATCCAATATGAATGAGTGTGACCATATTAAATGCTATGATAACCAAAAATAAAAATAAAAATTAATATTATGTTTGAAAATAACTTAAATTAAAAACCCAATTCCTTTCGCTATACCTCTGGCTGTAGCCTCTGCACATTCCGATGGAAGATGAAAACAAAACATCGAACTGCAAAACCAGAAAGAGTGCATATCACTCAACAAAATGTTAAATTAATAAACAATTATTAAACAAATATAAATTCAATGGTTTTAAAAGAAATAGAAAGGTTTGAATGATACAAACCCCCGTTCACCAAAAAATTGAGAAAGTGAAAGACCTTCTGCGTGGTCCAACCGTATTCTGGCACTCTCAATTGTATTCGAATTAGTTGAACCTAAAATCATTAAAATAAAATAAAAAATTAATAAAAACAAAAACCCTAATTTGGAATCAATTAGGTTTCGGATGATTGGATTGGAAGGTACCAGAGCTACGGCGGCTACGATGCCGTAGAGGACGGCAAGGGCGATGAATATACGATCCTGCCACACCGGAGAGTCGTTGATGTCGTGCCACCAGCTGGAGGAATCAGTCAGCTCAACCGCTGCAACCGCCACCGCAACCGTCGCCGGCAAGCTGTTATTGCTCATTATCGAATCTACGGTTTCTTGAGCACACGCGCCGCGAATGAATGAATGAATGATGTTAAAGGAAAGCACTAGTAGCTAGGCTTATTTTCAGTTTTAGTAATAGTTTGGGTTTAGCAGTTTTCTTTTTTATTTTTACAATTTAACAAAAAAAAATTTATTTATTTTGATGTAACAACGTGTATCATTAGGATTCCGTCATCCACAATTGAATGCATGGAAACGCAACAACACGTGGTCCAAATATTCACGCAACTATTAATTATTAGTCTTATTACTCTTGATATAGGATTGATTATTCTCACTGACGTAGAAAGTGAAAAAAAAAGTATAATTTTAATATTGTAACTATATACTTTCCGGAATATATAGTTATAATATGGTGATTGGACAAAACTTATATCCAGTGACCGAACACTAGATAGACCCATATATATATATATATATATATATATATATATATATATATATATATGAAGGGTTTCATGTCTCTTAAGTTGTATAAGATAAAATTATATTCTACACGTATATAAAAGTATATGCGGCCCATATTTTATTTTTCTCTTTTTTCTCTTCACATGGGCCCATATGAGCCTTACACATTTTTATATCTATGTAAGAAATAATTTTATCTCCTCTAACATAAAAAATATTATACCCCTGTACGAATTTATAGAGTTCAAAAAAAAAAGTTCAAGTTTAGGAATCCCGAGGTAAATTAAATAAGAAAAAAAGTTAATTAGCCAAAGCTAAACCATAACGTGGTTAACAATTTTATAATCAGAGCTAATGTTTAGTTTTAGTTGCTTTTAACTTCGTCACGGTAATATTGTGATTAATAAAAAAATAAAAACAATTCTAAATAGTAAAAAAATAAAAAACTATATTAGGCATAGGGATCAAAGTTGAAATAAAAATTAAAAAATTAATTAAATTGTGGCTAAACATCATAAAACGCTCGCTAGAGAATGTTAGGTAAGGTTTCTTTCTTATTAGCTGTAGCTTTCAAAATAAATAAATAAATAAGAGTTTAAAAAAGCTAAATAATTAAAAAATAAAACCAAACCAAGTTAGTTTTACGGATTTAATCTGAAATTTTTAAAATCCAACAGTCGGTTGTAAATCCAATATAACGAGCCGACATTGTAAACTTTTAATCAATTATATGAATATAAACAATGGTTTTCGTTTTGTCCTTTAATATGACACAAAAATTTTTTTACACACACAACATTTTGTGGAGTCCACACTTTTTAAAGCAAAAAAAAAATTAAGGCACGCAAAACGAATCTCTATAACATTACACAATCACTTTTCCTACAACATAACTCTTATAAAACCCATAAACAATATAATTATAGGGAAAAAAAGTTTCCGATGTTACTTTAGATAACTTTATCTAATGTTCATCGAAACGACGTCGTTTTGGAGTTGAAAAATTAAAAAATTAGAGTGATAAAGATTATTATAACCCTGAAATAAATTAAAATTACAAAAATACCATGATATCCGTCCCAAAACGACGTCGTTTTGATAAACATTAGATAAAGTTATCTAAAGTAACATTAGAAAAAACAAACCCATAATTATAACCATAAACAATCTTCAGGTGCATTCTTCCCTCAACTAAAAGCCAAGAGCAATGAAATTACACGGACTTAAAACTTAGGATGTGCATGACAATCATTTTATTCACTAGCATTGTTTTTGAAAAGAAATAGTTCTATTTTATTTCTATGCCTTGGAACAGTTTCTGAGAAAAAAAATGTGTTTGATAACATGTTTTATTTTTATTCCGAGAATGAGAATTGTGTTTGATAACACAACAAATAATATAATAAAAAATAATTCCTATTAAATATAAAAAAATTTGGATCATCACTTTCCTTTCCATATGGTGTGGTTGTGGTGGTGATGGTGGTGGTGGCGGCGGTACGGTAGTGGTGATGGTGGTGGCAATGACGTGGTGAAGATAGTGGTAGTGATTATGACGGCGGTACCTGCGACGATGACGGTGGTAATGGTGGCGGCGACAGCGGTAGTGGTGGGGATGGTGGTGGTGGAGGTGACGGCAGTGATTGCAACAATAGTGGTGGTATGATGGTTGGTGGCGATAACAATGGTAGCGGTGGCATGGTTGTGGTGATTGTGAAGGCATCACGGTGGTGGTGGTGGCAGTGGCTGCGGCGGTGGTGGTAGGTGGCAGTGGTGGCGGTGGTGGCGATGGCGTGGTGATGGTAGTAACATGGGTGGTGTAATGGTGGCGATGGTGACGATAATGGATGTGACGATGATGGTGGTGGTTAGTGGCGGTAGCGGAGGCGACGATGACGGTAGTGGCTGTGGCAATTACAGTGGTGGTTGGTGACATTGGTGGTGATGGTAGTGGTGGCGTCGTCGTGGTGGTAGTAGTGGCGATGGGGGTGGTGGCAGTGGCGTGTTATGGCGTTGGTGGCAGTGGCATGTTATGGCGTTGGTGGCAGTGACGACAGTGGTTTCGATGATGGTGGTGGTGGTTGATGGCGGTAGTGGTGATGGTGACAGTGATAATGGTGGTGGCAGCGGTGGTAGTTGTGGTAGTGGTGACGGTGGCATGGTGGTAGTGATGGGTGGAGGTGGTGGTAATGGTGGCGGTGGCATCGTGGTGGTGAGGGGTGGTAACGACGGCACTAGTGTTACGATTACAACGGCGACAATGGTGGCGGCAGTCGTGTTGGGATGATGGTAGAGGTGGAGAATTTGATTGAGAGAAATAAATTTATCTCATTTGTGCCCGGGAACCAAAAAGCAGAAATTTTATGATTCTTTTTTCTGTTTCCCAGCACAAAAATTAAACTGGTTCATCCCGGGAACAAAAAAAATAAACCGGTTTTACCAAACAAGTTTCCTATCCATTTATGTTCCCGGAAACAGAAATTAAAAATGAATTGATTCCGGGAAGGTTGTTATGCACACCCTTACAAAGCACGAACACGCTAATTTTTTTGAAAAATACGTGTCGGACACTAATACGCTCCGACATGTGTCTGATATGTGGTCAATATTTGAGGACACGTGGTCATTTGATGCACGGTCGACTTTTTTCAACACGTGATCAACGCTTGGACACACATCTGACACGTTTTTTTTTATATCTAAATTTTATTTTATTAACTAAATATGAAAAAATAATATATAAATTTTTTTTTTCTGTTATGGAATTTGAATATTTGATTAGTTATATGACTTATTATGGGTTGTTATATATATTAAATATAAATTATGGGAAATTATACTCTTATGTTGCATAAGATTATTCTCTCATTTTACACTCACATAAAAAGACGTGCATCTCTTTTCTTTTCTTTTTCTTTTTTTTTTTAAATTGGTGGGCTCCACTTAATTTATCTCACAACATGAGATAATTTCTCTCCTACAACATGAGAAAAGTAAAACCCATAAATTATATTATATATATTAAAAATATTATTTAATATCAAAACGTGTTCTAACGTGTCAAAATATGATATTTTTTAGAATTAACGGTTCGCCATGTCATGTGTATTCCGTGTCCTGTATTCCGTATCAGTGTCGGTGTAAGATAGCTTAAAACACAATAACCCAATAAATACACATGACTAATATTCAAATAAGTCATTTATATTATTTTATTTCTAGAAGGTTCACTTAATTGTTATGTTTCCATTAATTACAAGCAAATTCAATTCTAGAAGCAAGCCTTTACGTTCTCATTTTGGATCCTCAAAACATCATTTATGTATGATTTCCCATGATGCTCGGGTGAAAGGTATTCCTTGTAGAAATCTGCTACGCCAATTGTTTTGTACAATGCTGGTCTTTCTGGAGTAACAAGAGTTGGTGCTGGACCTATATTTCCACTCCATTCTGGACCATAAAATGTAGCAATGGATAACCTCTCTTTCTCTGAGTTCACTATTGCTCGATGTTTAGCGCTCCTATATATCCCATTTGTCATTACCTGAAATATCATATGTCAAAAGTGTAACATTCCAAATAGTCCTATTCCATGATAATAGGGTATCAGGAAACACGGGTCCATAATGCTATAAAATTATAAATTCACTTGATATAATTTTTGTATTTTAAAGCAGGACTAAATGATTAAGTACTTAGTTGATGAGAAGTTTGGAGTTTCTCTTGCGTGCACTCAATTATAATGTATGAACCTTGTTCTGTTTTAATAAATTTTATTGTCATAACATGTGAATTTTTCTCTGTTTAAATGATAACTTGTGCACTGTTTAAATAAACATGCGACTACCTATTGAGATGTAAATCTCTTTTAGTATGTATTTTGGGTGCTACCCTGTTTTGAATCATGTGACCTATGAGTTGCTTGAGTGTCTAGATGGTAGGAATGGTAGTAATCCATGGAATATCTTGTATTATGTTAGCTAGGCTTTTGTATGCACTACCTTACAAAGCCGTGTGATAAACAACTATCTCACTTAAGTGATAAGTTTTTAATGAATTTTATATTATATCTCTCTAACACATCCCCTTACACAAGAGTCTTTTAAACTTGAAATGTGGACATTGCGCACGTCCATATTTTTGTTCTTACCCTGTGCTGACTTAATTTCACTAGAAAGTGGGGTGGTGAGGATCCAATTCGTGATCACGTGATTACGAAGGCTTTAATATCATGATAAGCAACCATTTCAATCTAACTGCTCAAGCTCGCAAGTGAATAAGTTTTAATAATTTTATATTATATATCTCTAACATAATGTTTATTTTGGAGATTAATTTTGATGTAATAATTAAGTTAATAAGGGTAATATTATGATGCCCCATGCGGTACCCATATCCCTATGATATGTGACATAAAGCATGATTAATCATTTTTTATGTCCCTTGACTTTGAGGGTAAGGTTACCCCTCTTAGAGGTATTGGAGAACCTTGTGGTATTTGTACAGTTATCACAAGACATCTCCAAAATCAAAGACCTTATGATATTTTATATTTTAAATTAAAGACCAAAAATTGCACAATTATAATGATCATGTATACTATCATTAGTCATAAATCTTGATCACTTACCTGCATAACATCTCCGAGAGTAATGATGAAAGCACTTGGGAGGGGTTTAACAGGAACCCACATTCCATCTTTTCTTATTTGGAGGCCTTCCACTTCATTGGCTTGGAGAAGGATGGTAAGGGCAGATCCGTCAGTGTGAGCCTTAAGGCCAAGGACATTTTCTGGTTGGGGACAAGGAGGATAGTAATTGATTCTCATTGATTGGCCTCCTTCTCCTAATGACTCTGTAATATACTTTGGTTCTATGCCAAGAGCTTTTCCTATAACAACAAAAATGTTGATTGCAAGGTCTCTCATCTTTGTACAATAAGCCTCTAAATTTTCCCTGCAGTGGCCAACACTCACTTATTATCAATGTGATTTTCAGATACTAGACAGCAATGGCAATCTTCTAATTTCAAATGTTTGCATTGGGTGGCAGAGGCAAGAATTTTTCATTTAAGGGCACAATCTTTATATCAAGAATTGTACTACATGATTAATATAAGGGTAATGTTTTTCTCCTTTCACATAACACAAATAATTTTTCTACATAGACACAAAAGTGGGCCCATCAATTTTTTTGCTTTTTATTTTATTTTAAGAATAGTGGACCTCACAATTGGTTGTTTCTATGACATGACCTAAGAATTTTTCCTGTAACATAATATTTGTTTTTCCCTTAATATAAAGGGTCATAATTATTTTACATTAATGTAAATTACACTCTTAATCTTAGTCATTGATCTTATTTATATTTAGAGTAAATATAAATGGACCCATTTTAGTCCTTTTGAGGGACTAATATAGGTCTTTTTTTGAATTTGTGAGGGACCATGATCTCAACTAAATGGGTCCATTTTAAATTTTTTAGGAACCACGATGGGCCTTTTCATTTGCTAGGGACTAAAGCGGGTATCGTGAAATTTGCTAAGGACCAAAAAATGTATTTACTCTTTAAGGGTTATATTTATCTCATTTTACATGAGATAAATAATTTTCCTACACACACAAAAGAGAGGTGAGTCCCACTACTTTTTTTTCTCTCTCCTCTTAATTGTGAGTTCCGCTTGTAATTTTATTTCTACAACATGAGGTAACTACTTTCCTACAACATAATAAAAGTGTTTTCCTATATTTAATGACTCTAATTTATCATATATATGAACTGTTAGATGTACATGCCCTTAATATAAAACATGGACAAAATAAAGATAAAGAAGCTTGAAAGAAGACCTGAGTGGCAGTGGTATATTAGGGAACAAATGAGGCTTCCTTAAGTGAGATGGAAGAGTGAAAATGTAGAATAAATCTACCCAATCTGATGCCTCCTTTTTAGACATATTAAACATTTGACCAAACCCCTCCATGTCTCCTGGTTTCTGCCAAAGCTTACTCTTCTCTTCCATTGATAGATTGAAGAGTTCTTGAGCACCTGTTTTCACATCTTCCACCAATGTGATACTAACTCCATGATTAATCAGCTGTTACACATAACCACAATTTATATAGAATTGCGTTAGCTTCTTTTTTGGTGCAATAATACATAAAATTTAATATGCTGACTCCAATTACTCTTTCTATTGTGATTTGTGTCCACAATATAACATGAGAAAAATTAATAAGAATGCACGAACTTCCAATCTAAACAAACTCGTCAAAATTACAATATTACTGCAGTAGTCAGGCCATAATTCACAATTTTGTCCATATTAAAATTAAATTGCTTATATACAACCTGTGAGTACTGAGTAGTCAAATTACCCGTTTCCTTTGTTTTCATTCATTTTGAAGATAGGAACTCTTAATTTTTTAGATAATTTTATAATGTATTTTTCGATGCAACGTGTCAAAAAATTATAATAAAAATTAAATTGTTCAAGATTTCTAGAATTTTTTTTAGTTCTTTCGGTGGAAGAATTTTATAATTATTTTAGTCGAGAGGATAACAACTCTCTGACTATTGTGTCAGTCTCAAAATAAATTTTTATAATTTAAAATATCCAAAAAATAACAACTGTTCAATTTATGTCGGTCTGCCGATAAATCTTTAAAATATGCATAAGTCGATAACATCAACATAAATTAGATTGTTGTCATTTTCTCAGTGGAAAAAGAAAAATCCACATGTGATAAAGATGAACGAAATTCTCTAAAATTTAAATGTGTTGATATGTCAAAATAATATAACTCATCGTATTTTCAATATTAAATATCACTAAAAAAATAGCTATATATATATATATATATAGTATTTCAATATTCAATAACACGAAAAGAAAAATAGCTATACAATATTTTCCTTATTTGTGTGGATAGTTTTTCCAACCTTTAACATACAAATATTTGAAAGGAAGGATAAGAAGACAAATATCAGTTCAGTTAATAGTAAGAGAGTTAAATAAGTGGAAAGAAAATGATTGATTCGATCTCAAAAGCTATCTTTAAAATTTATTCATTTCAACCCCTTCACATTCCAGATTAGTCGCATAGTCAATGATATCATCAAATAGAGATAGAATAGAAGGTGGAGATGGAGATGCAAACCTGGAAGAAACCCCATTCTTTGCATGCAAGGTCAAGCTTCTCTAGTTCAGGACCCTTCACTTCTTCAGAACACAACTTATCTAGGTCGATGACAGGGATCTGTGGCAAAGAGTGTTTGTTAGATATAATTGGAGGGTCAATATCTGAACGAATTACATATCTCTCTGGAACTTTGGTTAGTGCCTCCTTTGCTAGTTCTTTCACAGAAGGAAGAAGAATAGAGGGTCCAAGCTCTGCTGTTTCAGGTTCCATATAGCTCCACAGGCTCAGAATATGGATGTTATCTTCTCTCAACTCTTGAGAATCATGTCAAATGTATACATGTTTGAATAGATTTTTTATTTATTTATTATTTCTGGAAGGATGGTTGAGGCTTTGCTATCCCGTTGACCATGAATATAGCAATAATAATGGAATCATATATCCCCAAATAAAGGATTGAGTAAGCAAAAAAATATTATAATTAATTCCTTTGCACATGGCTTAGCTGGGGTGGCTTGATTCCCGGAGGAGCCACGGACATGTGGCATTTTCTTCGTTACACCTCAGCTAAGTTCCAAGCACAAGTTTCATGCAATGTTATAAAACCCGACCGACTGGTTAATTAACTCATAAATTGGGCTCCCAACCGGTCCGATTTAGATATTGAACTAATTATGCATTTGATACGGTATGAAATTGGTAAATCGATTCTGAACCGAGTTCATCCTGTATTAAATCAGTGCCGCTTTTTTAAAAAAAAAGAATAAAGTTCATTTTGGGTTCCTAACAAAAATTATGATCCCCACTTTCATCCCTTATAAAAAAAATATTTATATTAGTCCTTTTTTAGGGACTAAATTGAGTTTTTATTAAATTTCTAAGGAACCGCGTTTTTAAAGAACTGGAATTGTAGAGAGATTAAAATTTGACTTTTTTGTTTATAAGCAACGAAATGAGGACTGTATTTTTGTCGGGACCCAAAAAAGACTTCACTCTTAATAAATTATCTTTTTTGAATTTTGGTCAAAATGCTTAAAAAATACCACTAGTAAAATTTAAACCTACAAAGTTTGGGTTATAACTTATAGCGTTTAGCACTAAACCAACTCTAATTATTAACTAAAATACTTTTAATTTATATTTATTATATTTTATTAGGGATAGATTATTTTATCTTTTATTCTTTCTGTCTACTTTTACCTACCACTCTTCAATACTGTTAGATTAGAATCTCGAGAAAGATAAATGGTAGTTAAGATTCTGATCTAACGGTATTGAAGAGTGGTAGACAAAGGTAAATAGAAAGAATGATAGGTAGAATAACTTATCCCATTTTATTATATATATTTAATTCATACCATTGAACTACTGATTAATTCGCTGACTGACCCAGTATCTTGACTCTCGATCACTAGTTTGAGTTTCACAACAGTTTCATGGTTTTAATGGGATGCCACTTTTAAAATATTTTTGGACTTAAATAAATTAATACTAATTTTATCTAAGTACCATAAGACTCTTATGAAGCAGAGTAATTACACTTATGAAGCAAGGGGAATTAATGAGGCGAGTAAACTTCAACTTTTCCTTTCTCTAAGCATGAGACAGAATCTGCTTCAAACATTTGAAAGATTTCTGATAATTTAAGAAACCCATAAACCAGAAGTCAAAATTATCCACAGTAACTATTTCTATGTACTTTTCTGAAGGCTTCTTCACATGTTCACTTTGGTCAACACAACTTATTTTATCAAGTGGGATCACAACCTGCAAGGACAGATAGTTTTTAATTTTTTAAGTTTGAGAGACATATAAAACACTGATATATATAGAAGCTTCATGTAAAATTTAGATTGTGTATTATTACCTTGTAATGGGTTCTGATCAATTGACCTTTTGGAGAAGAGATCTTGATTGATCTCTCACTGCAAAATGCAACTTTATTAGTGGATATGAAGAGAAGACCTGCTAGAGGACCAGATGTGGTTGATAAATAGCACTGAGATGCTTTTAGTAGCCTCTCATCATCTTTAACACTAAAGAGTTGCATGAAAACTTTCTCAACTCCTCCAACTTGAAGAATTCTTGCTCCTAAGCTTAACTTCCCTTTTACTGTATCAGTTATCTTTGGCCCAAGTCTTACTGCATGTCATGAAATCACTTATAAGTCAATACAACTTCAATGTATGTTCTAGTGAGGACTAAATGATGAGTCATAAATCATTATGATTCTTTCCAATTCAAATGGACAGAGAATGTCTAAATGTGAATCTAAGGTTTTGACTTTTGAAGAGTACATACCATGTTCTCTGAGTTCAGTTGCAAAACTGTCAGCCTTTCTACCAAGCTTGTTCATCCTGGTAAGAACTGAATTTGCTCTACCTGAAAAACCATGATTTTAATGTTGTTAATGAAATGATACCGTTTTTGAAGAACTAATCAATCCAAGTTTTTCAAATAAAGGATAACTTACTTTGCTTTGAATTTGTGGTAGACTTATTGTATTGGCTGGAAGAATCAGGCAAGTATTTCTTTGATGAATTCTCAACCATGTATGCTGCTGAGGTGAATGGAATTCCAATTACAAGCTCTTGAAGAAAAGAGGCCATCATATCTAACCTTTGGTGGTGAATTTCCTCTTCTAACTCTAATTAGATATATTAGTTTCGCTTACTTAGGTTGATAAAATCTTGCAATCTGAAGAGGTATATATAGCAATGGAAACATATATAGGAGGTGAATCTTGAAACTTTTTGGATGAGTCATCTGTTTGTCATCATGAAGAATAAAGGATATAGATATTCGGTGGTTGAAAATGGCTTGTCTAGTTGCTTTTATCTTTAAAACAATGTTTTGTAAAGGTCCATCGTCATAATTATTAAAAAAATTGAAGCATTACTGAAAGGTTTCCATGTTGTCCATATTATTGATTTATTAAATGGTTCGTTTTTTCAGCAGTTACTGCAGATAAGTTATCTGCAGTAAGCCAAATACGACATCATTTTAGGATAGAAATCATAGTATTTTTATAATTTTAATTTATTTCAGGGTTATAATAGTCTTTAAATTTATAATTTTTTAAGATTTCAATACCAAAATGACGTTGTTTTGGAAATAAATACAGATAACTTATCTGCAGCAACTGCAGAAATATTTTTCCCTTTATTAAAATGAAAATAAAAAGGGTTACAATAATTAGGATAATAAGGTTGCAGTTGGTTGAACTTAATAGCTGGCTCCTTATATGTACGCGTATAGCTAGGCAATCACCATTGTTTTTCCAAATTTTAAGGGAATTTCTTTAGCAGCTCTTAGCAATAAAAAATGAGAAGGCAATCTTCAAGAGAATAGCATATATACTCTCTAGCAGTGTTTAAAAACCCGGCCCGGCCATCGACCCGAACGAGGTCAGGGGTCACGAGGTCATGGGTTCAACCGGGGAGTCACGGGGTCACTTCGTTGACCCGGTTTTATACATTAAAAAAATATATATATATATGCTATATGAAAATTTCAAAAAAATCAAACCGCCAATCATTAAAGATTCAAAATATACTTATCATAATTCAACCAATTACATCTACAAATCAATATTCACAAGCTAATCATACTATCAAAGTATAAAACACATATTCCAATGGAGTTAATGAAAAGTTATATCATCAAACTCAAGCCCTTCTTGTTCTTCTCATCCACCTACAATAGTATGTAAAAGAAGATCACTTACCAAATAGATAACAGAGGAGGGAAAGAGGCGACACGACAAATTAACGGTGGGAAAAGAAGAACCAGCACAGTGAAGGAGATCACTGGAACAGGAAGACTGAGTCTGTGTCAGAGAGAGAAGATCGGAAGAGAAGAAGAAGAATGATTCATATTACAAATCTAATTCTAAATCTATGCAGCAATGAGTTTTTGTTATTTTTCTTTGTTTTACACATCAAATGATGTTATTTTGTGTATAATTTTCTTTTTTAAAAAAAATGCAGTGACCCCTTTGACCCCTCTGACCCGGGAGTCAAGGGTTCAACCGGGAGGTTTCGGGGGTTAGAGGGGTCAACTTGCAAGTATGGTCTAACTACTAACCCGAACCCTTAGAGAGAGGGTTAGTGACCCGGAGGGGTCAACCCCGGGGTGAGGCGGGGTTTTAAAACACTGCTCTCTAGTACTAAAATATGCTTAGGGGGAATAAAATATATATCTTGGGTAGTTCAAATTTTTTGAATGATATATAACTGACAAAGATGATGTATTACCACCTTTTCTTTGGTGCGTGTCATTGAGCTTTATGAGCTGGCAAGTTTGCTTTCTAATACTGGACTAATCTAAGTTCTCGTTATAAGATAAGAAATATAGTGAAAAAAAGAAATGGTCACATCTTGCAAATAAGTTGTTACATCTGCGACATCTGCTTGGGTAACATGTAGATTATGTAGACAAAGTCCAGAATAGATCTATTTAATGTTTTCTTTTAAGATAAGATCAGCATTCTTCCTAGTCGGTTTCATTTCTCACCAATATTGTAGGTACTAAATCCTAATAGAAACAGAAACATGAGTAACCATCAGTGAAAAAGTAGAGTTGTCATAGTTGGATGGTCAAAATAAAACATCATAAAGTAAGGAAGCTGAAGGCCAAGTGTTTCTGAGTACTCAGCATATTTGGTAATATATACCTGAGTCAGCTAAGGAAAGATATATACTAGGCCGGCTATGAACATCATGTGGTGGGGGCAGTTAGACATTCTTCTTGTTTGAGGAAAAGCGAATGCCACATCGTTCCCACATCATCCTTAATTATGCCCCACATGTAAACCACGTTTGGATATGGAAAGGAAACCCAAGATTTTAAAAAATTATCAATTATGCATCAAAACGACGTCATTTCATCTAAAATAACACAAAATGATATTCTTTAAAATGACAAATATTTTTTTTCATATATATAGGTCAGGATCATTTTACACCAGTGTAAGTTACACTCTCAATCTTGTCCGTAGATTTCACTTATATCTAAGGGCTCTAATTTTTTAGTAATGTGAGCCATTGGATACAAGTGGATCAATGGTCAAGATCGAGTGTAAGACTTCTAACTCTTACACCGGTGTAAGAATATCTTGCCTTACATATATATATATATATATATATATATATATATATATATATGGGAAATCACTTCTTATGCAGCTGCAAAAAATGGGATCTTCTGCTATAGACAAAGATCTTGAAATGAAGTATATTATTTAATAAAAAAAATAAAAAAAGGAAAGCGAGGCTCCCCATGAGTCTGCTGCAAAATTTTTGATCTTCTGTTAAATGAGAAGTTGAAACCCCATATATATAGAGAGAAAAATATTTCTCAAGTTGCTTGAGATATATTTATCTCAGGCCAGCCCAAAACTACGTCGTTTTGTTTATTTATTTCTTTATATTTATTGATGGAGTTTGCATTTGTCATTTAACATGACACAACAAACTTTCCTACACACCACATTTTATGGGGCCCACACTTTTTGAAGAAAAAGAAAAAAAAGAAATTACGGCAGGCAAAACGAATCTCTATAATATTATACAATCACTTTTCCTACAACACAACTCTTATAAAACCCTTTATTGATTCACCTTTAAATGATTATGATTTTTTTTTTCTCTTTCTTTATTACTATTGATCTATCTTTGTGCGATTATGATTTAGTGGCCGGAGATAAAGTTATTTTAAGTAACTTGAGAAACGATAAGCCAATATATATATATATATATATATATATATATATATATATATATATGGGTTTACATTTCTGCAGCTGCGTACGTGCACCAATTAAATACTTGTCATATATATACTTGAAAGCATTAAATGTGAAGAATCATAACCTGGAATGCATTTTAATATTGTAGTTCATTTTGAGTATAATCCATTTTAATATTATTTCTCGAGCAAAGTATAAATTCTGATATTAAATTGGAATGCATTTGAAGATTTGAACAATTTGAATTTATACATTATATTTTGTGTCATCTTCTTCGTTGTTTGCTTAATGTGGGGTGACTCATATAGTTCTTTATCATATAACAAAAATGGTATGCGATGAAATGTTAAGTACTCATCGATAAGCTTTTGTATGGGAGGGTACAGTCTTTCAAAATTGCTGACGATCGATGGGTTCACCGAGCAGTCATTTGGATCGAATATACTATCAACCCTATTTAGACCGATTGACCTGGCCGAGTCTCAGTGAGTTGGTGGGTCAAACGAAACCCGATGAGTCAAAGCTATTTTATACAAAAAAATTTAACACCGATTTTCTGAAACGAGGACTCACAAAAGCTGTCATTGTTTTCTGAAACTGGTATATACTTCTTTGTTGATTCGAATGCCGTTTTCGACGATCCCGTCCGCGTTCTGAATCATTCCTACAACCGCATTCTGAAACTGGTATATACATATTCTTAATGAATATAGCTCAGTTGACAACACGAACTCAATAGGTGGGATAGAACCTGGGCAAAGAGCCTCAAGAGTTAAAGATATGAACATCAAGAGAAGTGGGCGGATTGAATAAACTAATTAGAATGAAATTTATGCCCAAAATCCAGCCTACCTCTTAGACCTTGCATGTTCTCCATGTTGCCCGCCTTGATCATGGCACCTCCTATGTCCTTATCAATTAAGCTTGTGGACATGCCTTATAACCCAAATTATAGATATAAAAATTATTATACATCTTATATCTTAGGATTAAATTGACTACGAAATTTTGGATTATTATGTGTTGTTCTCGGACCAAAATTCCAACTCAGAAGAGACAGATTGCTGTCTATTATGGGAATATGTATTATTTAATTAAATGCATAATAGCCAAATTATTTGTCAGTTCAGACGATAACAGTTGAATATTCTCACAGATTTAACAGAGTTCGCCTGAGCTAAATATAGCCCATGATAAAAATTTGACGGGTAAATTTGTAAAGTGTGATTGTAAAATTTCAAGGACCTAACATTACCTGTTTCACAATATAGTCCAAAATTGAGTAAACATTATTTTTATTATTAACTATATATATGTGCACAATATTTGTACATATATTGAAGTCTTTGCAACTTAACAAATAATAATCAATGAAGCAGAGAAAATGAACAATGTGCTTCTATTTTTTCACCCATCTACACGAGACATCATAGCCTGCTGAAGATATTTCAAAGCTTTATGATAAATTAAGAAAGGGCATAAAACTTCTCAACTTTTCTTGCCACCATAGTTGTTAAAATCTCGATTTATTACTGTAATTTTACGTTTTTACGATTTTTTTATCAAAACGATTTTACCAATATTTTTCCAAACGCTTTTACGATTTCTTATGATTTTTTTACATTACGATATTACGTTTAACGATTTTTTAACCCTCTTCTGATTTTACTTAAAATCTCGATTTTAACAATCTTGCAGTACCACTCTCACATGAAAAAACTAGCCATTTTTTTTTTTCTAAAAACGGTGGGGCCCACTTTTCTTGTCTAAGTGCGAAAATTCTCTTCTCCAACTTGCTGGAGAAGTATAAAAACCCAAAAACCAGAAATCCAAATTATCCACATTGTGACTTTGGTTGACACACTTCATCTTTTCAAGTGGAATCACGACCTGAAATGACAAATAGATTTGAAGTTATATGGTAGCAAAGCCTCTAGGAAATAAAGTAACATGATCAAATAATGAAAGAAAGCTACTGCATTGACATTATAACTTACAAGGATCTAAGAAAATCACCTTATAATGGATTCTACTCAATTCTCCTTTGGGAGAAGATATCTTAATGGATCTCTCACTGCAAAAAGCAACTTTAGCAGTTGATATAAAGAGAAGGCCTGCTATAGGACCTGACGTGGTTGATCTATAGCACTATGATGCTTTCAACAACTTCTCCCTTTCTCCAACACTAAACAGTTGCATAAAGATTTTCTCTACTCCTCCTACCTGTAGAATTCTAGCTCCCAATCTTAGTTTCCCTTTTAATGTATCAGTTACCTTTGGCCCTAGTGTCACTGCATGTTACAATAACAATTTCAAACCATCAATTACAACCTCTTTCTATATTCAGAATTTCAAGTCATGGTAAATTACATAAATGTTTGAGTACATGCAATTCAATTGCATAAAGTATTAAACAATACAATGCTTGCTCTACAAATGAGCAAAAAGTCATAAATTGAAAATCAGTTTTTCATGATACAATACATACCATGCTCTCGAGAATATCTTCAGTGTTACGGATGCACCGAGTTTTCGGTGTATTTTTTCACTTACAATATGACATCTATCTTACTTTTTGTCAAATCACTCTCTCACATAATTTTAAAATAAATTATTTGTTAATGATTTGACAAAAATAAAACACGTATCATATTATAAGTGAAAGATGCACCGAAGAAATTTTCCATGCTGTCGGACTCCGTGTGCAAAATTGTCAGCCTTTCTCCCAAACTTGTTCATCCTAGTCAGAACAGAATTTACTTTACCTGAAATGACAAGAGTGTCCATGATTAATACAAAAAAAGAAAAAAAGAAAAAGAGGAAAGTAAAAAATCTTAGAAGGGAGGGTTCCCTACTTTGCTCTGATTTTGTGCTAGAAGAATCAAGCAAGTATTTTTTTGATGAGTTCCCAAAATGGTATGCTGTTGAGGTCATAGGAATGCCAATAACTAACTCCTGAAGAAGTGAAGCCTTCATATTTATTGTTTTTGTTAAGTTTCCCCTTTACCTATTGACTTGGAAGATCTTATTGATCAATGTTTGACTTGTGAGTGGTATGCAAGAGCTTTCCTCACTTTGGTTGATGAATCCTTGTACTCTGCATGAGTGTATAAATATTACTAAAAGGAAAGGCAGTGAGTCATCACTTTTTATTGGATGAGTCAGCTTTGGATCATCACGAAGATGATCAAAAGAAAGTTATTTAGAATTTGAAGATAGCCCATATATTTGGTTGCTATTACACACACAAAGGGTATATAGAGGTCCACCTCATCTTTAATAAGAAACTAAAAGATTAAGAAAAAAAAAAGTTTTCAAGTGGTTGAATAAGATTTTTGATTTTCAAGGCAAACCCACCCCAAGAGAAAATCTTGGGTGCAACTGATGCACTGAAGTGCATTGATAGTTTATTTATCGTAAGATATGTAGACTGATTCTATATAAATTTTTAGAATCTCAAGATTCGCCTATATATTTTAAGATAAATAAACTACCGAGATTGCACTGAAGTTTTGTTCCTAAAGGGGAGTGGATCGCATACTTCATTCTTGATTATGTGAAATGAGGCACATAATAAAACTTGGATTCTTGCAAAACAAATATGGTGTTAGTGATTTACTTTCATCTTGATCGCATACTTCATTCTTGATTATGTGAAATGAGGCACATAATAAAACTTGGATTCTTGCAAAACAAATATGGTGTTAGTGATTTACTTTCATCTTGATCGCATACTTCATTCTTGATTATGTGAAATGAGGCACATAATAAAACTTGAATTCTTGCAAAACAAATATGGTGTTAGTGATTTACTTTCATCTTGATAACATTATCATGTCAAAGGTATGTAGGGAGTACTAATTAAGAAGCCAAAAATAGAAATAACATAGGAACATAGTCCAGTTTATGGAATTTATGTTTATGTGTTTTCCATGGCAATCTTTCTAGATTATTAGGAATTAAAAAAAAAATATATGCGATCTTTTAGCTTTGGAGGGGAATTATCTTCCTTAAATTTACAAATGAGAGGAAGAAAATTATAATAATATTTTGTTTTGTTGGGAATGCCTTTCATTTTCGCATTCTTGATGACAAAAGTTGAACTATCGTCACTTTTTTTTTTTTTTTATAATTTATTAAAATGTAAGGGAAGGTTGTGTTAAAGCTTTGAGCTGGAATGTTACCTTTCTCACGCTTGAAAGTTTAACTTCTACTAAGATAAGAAAAGTGAAGAAAGAAAGCGCATATACTTGCATAAACCAGAATTACATCATGCATGAGGAAGTCGGTAACTTACAGTATATCCATAAAAAATTCTCTGCGAACAAAAATAGGCACAGTTAGCTAAGGGTTTGGTCTATATCCTATAAGAGCATAAATTCAAACTCCGTTGACCTATATGAAAATTTTGTTAATGGGTAATATACAATCTCTCCCGTAAATCCTCGAAGAGGTTGGGATCTAACTCCACTTAAACTTTTAGTTACAAACGAAAATTAAATAAAATTCTGTAATGGCTTTTACATTTCTTAACTACTTACATTATAAACATATTCTCCATATGCATGCTGAATCTATTACGTGATTAGAAAAGTTATTTTCTATTTAAATTATATAAAAATAAAAAAATTCGGATCGAGAGAGCTTTTTTTAAAATAAAAAATACTCTGAAGAACTTAACTATGCAAAACATGTTTTAGATTTTAGAGTAATTATTATACAATCTTATTTTAATGAAATATAATTTTATTGACTAGAAAATGATGCAAGAGTTAGTTTTAAAATGTGAAATTTAGAACAAAAGTGTAAATGAACTCAATGTTGAAAGATTTTGGCCACAACAGCTATTTTTCTACCAAAATTAATATATGTAAACTAATTTTTGTACATCAAAAGAAAAATAAAAAAATAAAATGCTTATTAAGTTGCAAATAGCATAAGGCAACAATGACCCATTTTACTTTTAACTTCTACTTTATATACAAAACATATACACTACTCATTATCTTATATCCCCAGCTATTCTTGCTGCATCACTGAACTTAATTCCTTGGTTCTTGGGATTCCCTCATAGTTTTCTACCTCATTTCACATTATTTTCCTCTTCTTTTCCACTACATGGTGAGTCAGCATATGCATTATTTTTCTTCTGCCATGCATGACCACCTCCTTAGAGCAAAAGCCTATAATATGTAGCTTCATTCCTCCTTTCATCTATATTCTAATATGTTACAGATTATTCATGTCTTGGATCTCTAAGCACAAGAGTGTTGGCTTCAGCTGTTCATCCTAAGCTTGAGAAATTGCCTGCTCGAGATACTTGAAAGTTTTCTGATATTTTAAGAATCCCATAAACCAAAACTCGAAATTGTCTTCTGTAACTATCTCTATATACTTTTGTGTTTGCTTCTGAACATTTTGACTTTGGTTCACGCACTTGATCTTCTCCAGTGGAATTGCAACCTATGCAAGACACATAACTTTTCAGGTGCATACAAATTATGCAAACAATTCTTGGAGCAGGGGAAAATCAGAGAGATATAAAATGTTTCTGTGTTTATTACTTCATGATTTACCTTATAGCGGATCCTGCACATTTCACCATTTGGAGAATAGGCTTTAATTGATCTCTCACTGCAAAAGGAAACTTTTTCTGTGGAGATGAAGAGAAGACCTGCTAAAGGGCCTGATGTTGTTGATAGATAGCACTGTGAAGCTTTCAACAATCTCTCCCCTTTTCTCACAGTAAAGTATTGGTTAAAGATTTTCTCTACTCCACCAACTTGAAGAATTCTAGCCCCAAGGCTTAACTTCCCCATAACTGTGCCAGTTATTGTTGGCCCCATTTTCACTGAAATTTCAAGTGAATCAAATTTAGATTCTATATGAACTCCAATGAAAAAGAGGAAGTCTAAAATAGTGGTAAATATATTAAAGTTGTTTCTTTATAACTGAAGAGTCGCACGTTCAAATTCAGAAAACAACCTCTTTGCAAATATACAAAGATAAGACTAATATAAGGATTACCCTCATTCCTGTCCTTACTGGTTAAATTGCATGGTTCTCATATATAGCACCTCATAGTGCCATATCACTTGGAAACATATCTCAAGCTTACAAAATAATACTCACCATGTTCTTTTACTCCTTGTGAAAGACGATCAGCCTTCCTTCCAATCTTGTTTATAACCGAATATACTCTACCTGAACAATGAATAAGGTCTAAAAATTGGTAAAGCAATAACTACATAATGAAATTTGATGTTTAATTATGTGTAAAGGAAAGAAGGTCTTACTTTGCTTTGATGATGTGGCAGGATCAGGTAAGCATCTGTTGAATAACTTCTGCAGTTGATTATATGTTGCCAAGCTGACTGGGGTTCCAATAATTAGAGAATGAAGAAGTGAAGTGTTCATGTCTGAATTTTGATGATTTGTAAAGGACTTGGTTTTATTGAAGAGGAATGGTTAGAGCTACTGGATTTCTAAGGAATCTATGCTTACTTGAGTTCATCAATCCCTTGTATTCCTTAAGAGGTATTTAAAGGGATGTAAAGTAGGATGTTTTGAATCTTCACCTTTTTGTTCGATGACTCATCCTTGGATCATCAACCATGATCTTAGACAAAACTGGCTTGACATCTTGTGGTTAATAAAATAACAAATTGGACATTATTACGAAGTATGCGGATCAACTTCATCCCATGTAAAGAACCAATTCAACCTAAAAGTTTAAGCTGTTGGGTGAGGCTACATTAATGTTTTTATATATCTCAACACGCTCCCTCACACGAGACCCCACTGGACTTGAAGGGTGGACAATGCACAGACCCACCTACCTGTGCGAAAAAAAAATTCCACTAGAAAGATAGTGGGGGGCGTTGAAGATCGAACTCGGTACAACGAGGCTCTGATAAAGAACCAATTTGTATAGAACCGATTCAACCCAAAAGCTTAAGTTGTTGAATGAGGCGACATTAATGATTTTTATATATCTCAACATGCCCCCTCACACGAGAGTCCACTGGGCTTGAAGGGTGGACAATGTACAGACCCATCTACCTGTGCGAAGAAAGAAATTCCACTAGAAAGAAAAGGGGGAGCGGTGAGGATCGAACCCGGTACACCGAGGCTCTGATACCATGTAAAGAACCAATTCAACCCAACTGATAAGAGATTGTTTCAAATTAACCAATGGTCTTGAGTTGAAGTCCCTATGAATGCAATTGCGTTTAAAATTTGGTAGGGAGAGCTTTGTCGTCCTTATGGTCCTACCCGACTCGAATCGCTAGTCGAGTAATTGATGAACCAATAGATAATATCAAATATATATATATATATGTGTGTGTGGAAAAATATTTCTAAGTCACTTTAGATAAGGTTACCTACAGCTACCCCAAAAACTACGTCGTTTTGATTAATGAAGGGTGTTTCTATAATTTTAGGTGAATTAATGAAGGGTGTTTCAGTAAAATGTATATGATAAAAAAATAAACAAAATTATGGAAACATCCTTCATTAATTCAACTAAAATTACAGAAACTCCCTTCATTAATCAAAACGACGTAGTTTTTGGGTAGCTGTAGATAACCTTATCTAAAGTGGCTGTAGAAATGTTTACCCCCTATATATATATATATATATATATATATATATATATATATATATATATATATATTTGCAGCTGTTGTATGTGCAACAGTCAAATACTTATATATAGAGACCATTTTTGATCCCTAACAAAAAATACGGTCCCCACTTTACTCCCTTACAAAAATAAATTAGTCAGTTAGTCCCTAACAAATTCAAGGTGGACCCATTTTAGTCCTTTTGAGCGACTAATATGGGTCTTTTTTGAATTTGTGAGGGACCACGATTTCAACTAAATGGGTCCACTTTGAATTTGTTAGTGACTAACTGACTAATTTATTTTTGTAAGGGACTAAAGTGGAGACCGTGTTTTTTGTTAGGGACTAAAAATGATATTTACTCTTATATATATACATATATATGTGAAAGCATTAAATGTGGGGAATCATAATCATACATCTGTCATTGTGTACGTAAAGCGGCTGAGGGAGAGAAAAAAAAAGCAACTTTAAAATGTTATAATCATGTACTACCGGTAGTACATAATTATAGCACATAATTATAAAGGGTAGCTGTAAAAAACCTTATATAAAGTGACTGTAGACAATAAAACTGTTTTTTTTCTCTCTCCTCAGACATTGTCGGCTGATGTGGCGGAAAGAGAAAATGCAATTTTTATATCTTACTGGTCAGACTTAGTTAAAAAGGGTTAATTGTAGATAATGTTACTTAAATTGGATGTAGAAATACTTTTCATATATATATATATATATATATATATATATATATATATATATATATATCTATATATATATATAGGGAAGGATCCGTTTACAAACGTTTTTTGAAAAATTTTATAAATTACACTATGTTCTACCAGGAGAACATAGTGTAATCAGTGTTATCCCGCGAGAAGATAATGTAGTTTGTAAAAGTTTGTAAACAAAAAAGTTTGTAAATATAACCTGCCCAATATATATATATATATATATATATATATATATATATATGTATGTGAAAAAGAATTCTTATGTTGTAGGAGAGCTCTCTTCTCATGTTAGTGAGAGTTCATTTTGCGTGCAATAATTTTTTTTGTTTTCTTTGGCCCTACCATAAATTTGAGTGTGTAGGAGATTTCCTCCTCTCCAATAGCATGAGAAAAGCATTGCCCTATATATATATATATATATATATATATGGAAAATATTTCTGCAGCCACTTTAGATAAGGTTGTCTACAACTACCTTTTTTTCACTAAGTACGACCAGTCGTACATTAAAATTGCATTTTCTCTCTCCGCCACGTCAGTCGACAATGTCTGAGGAAAGAGAAAAAAAAAAGAACAACTTTATTGTTATAACTAAGTACGACCGGTCGTACTTAGTGAAAAAAAGGTAATTGTAGACAACCTTATTTAAAGTGGCTGTAGAAATACTTTTATATATATATATATATATATATATATATATATATATATATATATATGGGGAAGGATTCGTTTACAAACTTTTTTGATAAATTTTTACAAATTACACTATCTTCTTCCGGGAGAACATAGTGAAACTAGTGTTCTACCGGAAGAAGATAGTGTAGTTTGTAAGAGTTTGTAAACAAAAAAGTTTGTAAATATAACCTGCCTATATATATATATATATATATATAAAACAAAATCAACTGTTTGGTTGCTTTTAGAGGAAAAAATGTTACAGAAAGATCCAAGTCATCATTTTAATAACCTAGAAATTTTCTGAAAGGAGTAACTTTTTGAGATTTAGAGAGAGGTTTAATATCTTAACGAGCAAGGTTCCGTAGAGGTCGATCAAAATATATATATGGAATGAAACCCTTTTTTCTGATAGTTTATTGTCGTGTCTGCCATGATTTTTTTTTTTTTTTGACTCTCCAATTTACTACAAACCCTTATGAGTTCGTTGTACATGATAGTAACAAAGTTTTTACCACACTCGTACAAGTTCAAGTGAGCTCTGACAAAATTAATAAATTCTCGATTCTATTGACGAGATTAATTAGGAAACTATATTTTGTAAATGGTTTTAGCGTCTAATTAGTGGACATTTTTTATTTATTGCAAGAGGTGTTTAGGTTGAATTTCTATGTTTTTCAATATATATTGGGTATGAAGCTTTAGTTATATTTTTCAATCATTAATTTTGTCCTATATTGTCCAACTACAAAATTATTTAAGTTGAGCTAAGTATAATTTAATAATCACAATAAGTATTAAGTTATATATTTACTCTATTATTTTCATTAAGTTAAACACTGAATATTAATAATTGATAATGCCATTAATTAAATTATGTTTATCTATTAGGATTTTTTTTTAAAGTATATTTTAAGTTTGCAAACTCTTTATCAGTTTACGATTTGAGTGTACTTAAACTACGCCAGTTTACCTAAATTCTCAAATTTGACAATTTTGATTTCTTCTATTAAGGCAATTCATGGCAAACAGCAACCTTCTGCAAAGCGGTAGTGAAATTAAACTAACGAAAAGAAAAGATAAAGTAACCCTATTATTTGGAACACTTTTCAATTACAGTTGGCTAACAAGGTTCATGTATATATTATTATCTTCTTTCTTCAGATTGCTTATGTGAGGATGCATAATCAAAGCTTTTCGAGCTGGCATTTAAACTTTATGATGCTACCCTTTTCTAAATTCTCTTACGATAAGATAAGAAAAAGTAATGAGGTGAAGAAGTATATTCCATACATACTATTTGCAATTGCTCATCCTACAAGATCATTCCACTTTCTTCATGATGGCCAAAGGGTGAAGAAAGGACTTTATATTGTAAAAGTTGACCGCTAATAGCTAGTCTCTTTTTTTTTTGGATAAAAGGAAATCTTACATAAAACAGCCAACAGAGAAGGGGTAGGGGAAAGTAAGGTAGCACATGCTTAATTTTGTGTTTTTGGTAAAGGGAATCACCAAATCATTCCCATGTCGGCTTTTTCTATGGAACGTCGGAAATAGCTATATCATGTGTCTTCATCGGCTATTTTGCCTTGCACTTCCATTATGTTCCATTAAAAATATTTGAAGTTGATGGCAGGAACAGTACACAGAAGTGTAGGTGGACAAAAGTTGATTTTGATACGTATATTGGCAATGATTTCTGTGTGTATTCAATAAAATGATAAAAGAGAATGGATCATATTAATTAAAGGGAAATGTAAGTATAATATTGCAGCATATAAGTTTTATCCTGTCACCCTCTTATAATTATGTATTTTAGGAAATACATAGTTATAAGGGATAAATTATTCTACTTACTTTTTTATTCTATCTACTTATGTCTACCACTCTTCAATACTATTGAATCAAAATTTCAATGGGATTGTGATATAATAGTGTTGGAGAGTGGTAGGCAAAAAAAAAGTAGGTAGAATAACATATCTCTAGTTATAATATTAGAGTTGATTTTTTTTTCTCTCTTCAAACACTTTTCAGAACTTGTCGGCTGACATGAAGAGAATTTTTTTTTAATATTATAACTATATAATTTTCAGAATAAATAAGGGATGACAAAATAGATCTTATCTCCTGCAACCCCTACCTGACATCCGATGGCCGGACGCTTAATTTAAAATATATTACCCAATAAGCCTAACCCTTCTTACGCGCTACCCAAGCTTAAATTTAATTTTCCAACTTAAACGCTCACTATTTATTATTTGAAATTGAATGGATATCTTAGATAGAAGCTTGCGTAAAAATTTTCTAAACCCTACAACTTCGATACTCTTCCTATCTTCCTCTCTCTTCTCATCTTCTCATTTATTTATGGGTTTTATAAGAGTTATGTTATAGAAAAAGTGACTCTGTAATGTTATAGAGATTCGTTTTGCGTGCCATAGTTGTTTTTTTGTTTTGTTTCAAAAAGTGTGAGTCCCATAAAATATTGAGTATCTAGAAAACTTTTTTGTGTCATGTTAAATGATGAATGCAAACTCCTTTATTTATTGGAAAAACTTCATTTTAACGCCTTGCATCAATCCTTTGTGATTTAAATTTATCAATCATACACATTGAATCTGGTTAAATAAATTTATCATTTAGGGGGTGTTTGGTAGAGGAGAAATTTTTTTTTATCCGGGAATCACGATTTCCAAGAATATGATGAGAAAATGAGTTTTCTGGGAATGTTATCAAAAAGTTGTTTAGACTAATATATTCCCGGGAATATTGGGTTAATTTTCTTGATACTATGCTTAGTTGTATTAAATTTTTTCTTGCCATAGAAATCCTAGAATACCACATTTTGAATGGTATTCCTGGATGGTTTTTTCAAAAAAAAATTACACACAAAATAAAATTCTAGGAAAATCAGATTCCCGAGAAAATTTTAAAAAGCTTATACCAAACGATGCATTCTTATTTACCCAACCAAGAAATCCCGGGAAAACAAAAAAAATCCTCCTACCAAACGGGCCCTTAGGCTCCGTGGTCTCAAACTTCCATTTGCACTATATCACTTAGACCCCTAATAGTCTTATAAATAAGAAATTCTTTATATTTCCTACTTTTTATTTTGGGTTAGCTTTTTCTACAGTAGATAACTTATCTACATTGAGTCCAAAACGAAGTCGTTTTAAGGCGAAAATAAGGGTATTTTTGTAATTATAATTTATTTCAGGGTTATAATAGTCTTTTTCATTATAATTTTTTAAATTTTCAACCCAAAAAGACGTCGTTTTGGGAGCGAATGTAGATAACTTATCTACATTCACTGTAGAAACATTAAAGCCTTTTATTTTATATAATTAAGTTAGTATCATACAAACTTTTAACAAAATTAATTATTAAAGATTAAAATAAAATTTTATAAAAATATTTATTTTTAAATCATCTTATAAATCATCTTAAATTTTATTTATTTATTTAAAAATATATTTAAATTAAAAATATCATTCAAGATAAATAAAAGATATATTATCTAAATTAATTAATTTTTTAATTTTTAAAAAAAAAGTATAATGATATCGGATAAAAATATATAAAATAAAATAATATTGACTTAAATTTAGTATCACGATGAAAAGTAAATAATTTTTGTTTAAAATTTATTTTAATTTATTTGAATTCAATGCATTAAATGATAGGTGTTTAATTCTTTTAGATAATATTTTTTATTTGTAAGATATTTTTAAATATATTATTAACTTTATAATAATTATCAAATAATTTTTTTTTTAATTTTATTTTTAATAATTAAATTTATTATAATTTTAGTTATGACTATTTTACTATATAGAATAAAAAACTAAAAGTTTTACATGTATAAGATCATAAGGACCTAACTAATGTTATTATTAATTAAAAATAAATAATAAAATTAATATTAAAATAACTATTCTTATCGATAATATATTTTCTTTAAAAAAATAATGTTATCTCATCTTAAATAATTTTTTTAATTTTTAATATAATATTAAATGAGTGTTTCATATTTTTGGATACATCATTTATTTTGTATGATACTGTTTAAAATAATTTATAAACATATAAATCTTTTTTATTTTCTAATACGCAATCTTATTGTAATTTTAATTTATAATATCATATAAAATATAAGATGAAAATTAAGAAAAATAATTTTTTTTGCATATATATATATATATATATATATATATATGTATGTATATATATAACACCATGATAATTGTAAGTGAGATAGTTTTATAACTATAATGGACCAACGTGATATTTTAAAATCACAGGCAATTAAATAATATAATTTTATTATCACAATGGATCTAAGTGATAAATTTGAAATCATAAAGGACTAAATGTTAAATCATTTAACAACAAAGGGAGAAAATGAAATTATCCCTTATATTTCTTTTTTAGTAGGCTGGCAAAAACCAACTTCATTCCTTTTTTTTCTTCTGATTTTATTATTTTCCCAATATTTTATAAATTGAAGCAGGTGGCTTCCTTTGCAAGTCAATTAATTTAGCTTTCCCAAAAAATCTTTTAGATGGTTTTGCATTATCATTAATTAACTAATAGACATTTTCCTTCTTTATATCTCACATTGAATTATAAAATATTAGTTTGATTAAATTATATTTGTTTTTTTTTTATTATTTAGTAACTATTTTTTCCTTTTGCCTGTTTGATTTCTCGGGCTATGTATGAGTGACAAAAAAAATTTAAATATTGCTTTTTTAATAAAAAAATTATGAAAATGTAATTGTTTTGAATGTATATACAAATATATATAGCACTCAAACACGCCTCACAAGGAGCGTGACTGTTTGGAGAGAGACACACTCCACAGAAAACGTGACTTGGAGGAGAGAGAGACGCCCAAGAGGAGGCGTGTTTGATGACACGCCTCACAGGGGGCGTGACCAGGACGTGAGTGGCCCAATTCTTCCATATTTAAACCCCTCTCATCTTCACATTCCTCACAACTCTTCTCCATCATCAATCCATACTCTTACATATATTTTTCACTTGTTTATTCATATTCTGTTTTGTGTTTTTCATTAATATTTTTAAGAATTAGTTCAAACTCTGATTTTATTCGTGTTGTTCTATATTATAATAGTAGAAAAGTGAAAGGTGAAAAAATGCCATCACGTATTAAGCGGAACTCAACAGTTGTTGCATCAGATAATTCACCAAAATGTAGGGGTACTTGAATTCTTATGAAGTTCATGCCCAAAAAAATGGGGTGTCTACATCATTACTTTGTGAATTAATTAACTTTTACGTAATTTTGCGTGAAGTTTTTGAATTCTCTCAAACTCCCTTAGCAATAGCCTTCGTGGAGAAAGAAAAAAATCACTTATCTTTGTTTATTTAATTTTAGCCAAAACGAATAGAGAGAACATAAGATAAGGAAATAAGTCAATTCATTATTCGTTCACATAGTATGAGAAACGAAAGATTTCCACTTTCATTACAACTATCTTATTCTCATGAAGTTTTATTTGTAGCATTACAAGACACACATATAGGTTTTAGCAAGTGTCCTTAGTTGTGAGGTTTAGCATCAACACTAGCCTCAACATGTTCACCAGCATAATAGCAACACCTTAGACAGCGTCCATAGTAGCCCCAACCACAGCAACCATAGCGGCAATAACCGCCATAGCCTCCATAGCCTCCACGCCCGCCATAGCCACCATAGCCTCCGTAACCTCCACGCCCACCATAACCTCCATAGCCACCATAGCCGCCATAACCACCACGCCCACCATAGCCGCCATATCCACCGTAACCTCCATAACCACCATAGCCGCCATAACCACCAAAGCCATATTTGCTTTCATCTACCCCATTTGTGGCAAGATTACCTGCAAAAGAAACAGTAACATTTTAATAATGACCATGTAGCTAGTTTTAATGTTTAAGATGATATTTTGTTTACGTGTATACACACACAGAGACATATATATATATATATATATATATATATGATATTTTGTTTACATGTATACACAGAGACATATATATATATATATATATATATATAGAAATTATTTGTAAAGTAACTGCACTTAACAATTGGTGGAGTTCACTACATACTTTCGCAAGTACATAGTTATAATAAATATTATAATTATGTATTTCCGGAAGTACAACAGAGTATACCGTACTTCTCAGGAATACATAGTTATAATATTTATTATAATTATGTACTTCCAGAAGTACATAGTTGACCTCACCAATCCTTAGGTGTAGTCACTGTATTCGCTAAACCATATATATATATATATATTATATATATATATATATATATATAATCTCCAAAATATAGAAAATGCTGTTATCTAACTATCACTAGTACATAACCAATAAAACCTATAGCTAATGATTCTTATGAACAAAATTACCATCTTCTTTGTCATGTTTCTCTTCGAAGTGTTTGGGTGTAACGTCACTAGAGATGAGAATGATAGTCGCCAAGAACATAACTAGAACAAGGAAAACCTTGGAACCCATTTTTCGCAACTCAATGTGAACTAATAGAAAACTTGTTCATATATCGATGTGAAGGAAATGGCTGAATCTTCTCTATATATAGGCAAACTGAGGAAGGGATAGAACAAAGACATTAAATTTTTCACTAGGTAGAGGAGTACATTTTGATTTCATTCAATCTTATCTTATAGCTAAAAATTCCAAAATGATAATCAGAACATTGTCAGTTTCCCCTTTGTTTCCGTTTGCGTTTCCGAGTTAAGAGGGTTAAATCTTATTGTAGGACAGTGTTACGTGTAGAAGCAATTTGCATTAAGGAGGATATGCATGGTCATGATTATCAGAATTGGTAGTATTGGAGTAGAGAACAATATGTGGACTTTCAAGATTGCTATGAAAAATTGCAATTGCACGTTTCAGAGTTCAATACAAATACTTCAATTAATTCTTGGTGCATTGGAAAATAACATGACTCAAGAATTGGCATTTTCATTAAATGAAAGTCATCAAGTACTACTAGAAAAATCTTATATAGCGAGGGAATTGTTATGAAAATTCCGTTGCTAATTTCATCCTCGCTACTACTTTTCTTCGCAAATTTTCTTGCAATATCGTTTGCGAGAGAATTTGCGAAGGAAAATAGTAGCGAGGATGAAATTAGCGACAGAATTTTCATAACAATTCCCTCGCTATACAGGATTTTTCTAGTAGTATACTCTCCTGTCAATTCCATTTCTCTCAATCGAAATTGCACCGCCTTAAGACTTTTTAGATTTATATAGAAATTATGAATTTGTAAAACAAATTCATTGTTTTAAATAAAGCAACAAACAATATAAAGTAGGGTGCCAAGAAATGGAAATATTATGAAATGGTGTGAATGAGAGGTGGTTGGTCAAGGTGGGGAACCATTGCATAACGGTGCCCTTTCTTCGCCAATTGTCGGCAATAGAGGAATATGTCCTCTTTCGTTTTTTCAACGTTCTTTGTTATTTTTGTTTTCTCATCGATTTAGTTTTGTCATGTTTTCTTTTCTCTTCTCTTTTCAACTGAAGATTTTCATTTTTTATTATTAGTATTACGGATTTTTATAAACAAAATTTATTATTTTTAAGTCTAAACAAAATTGGTGTTCACGTGCATTGACATTGTGGCTGCACAATGAGGTAAGTATCTAATGAAGGACTTCTGCAGTAGTTAGGGATAAGTTTTTTTTTTTTTTTTTCGTGTTTCTTGTTTCTTGTTTTTTGGTAAAGAGCTAATTAATAGACCATTTTACCTCTCTTTTAAAATTAATTTATCACTTTATTTATTTTCTTAAACTATATATCAACATGCCCATCCTCTTGAATTATATATCATTTGTCCATATTTAATAAAAGTTTGACCAAACCATAATCCTTGATAAGTCATTTACTCAAGTAAGTGTGGATCAAACTTTGGTCAAATAAGGTTAGATTTGTTGGAAATCGACAATCACACAAAATCGAGAAAACAGAAAAAGAGATAAGAGTAGAGAAATTGACACGATGATTTACCCTGGTTCACTCAATTAAGGCTACGTCCAGCTTGTCTGTATTATATTCTCCTCACCGCCACTCGTTACAAGTCACTCGGTTTACAAGGAAAATATAAATAGGATTAGAAAACCCTAACAGCAGCTATTCATGGACCCAAGCCCAAACTGCTAAGAAAATTATAAAAAAACAGAGGCTCACAATAGTACCTAGCCTCTACGGGCCTGGGGACGCTGCCCCCGAACCCCCGCTGGGGCGGCTCCCCAGTTGCCTTTCTGTTGACCCTGATAATTAGGATATTCATCAGCATGCGAAGTATGAGTCATATCCAACAAGAATAGTGTAAAGTTTGAATAGAAGAACAAATTGATATATAGTTTAAAAAAACGGGTAAAGTGATAAAATTTTATTAAAATACGGGTAAGATGGTTAATCAGCCGCAGGGGAAGAGGTATGATATTATATCGATTGGAATTAAGTGAGTGATGAAATTGTATATTTTTAAGAATAGACTAAGTGAAAACTATATAAACAGAAGAACATATAACTCAGTGCCTTAATTAAGATTGAGTTAGAAGTTATTAAACTCACTTATTGTAATGAATTGTCACTTAACGCATTAATGATGCATAGTCTCCCTCGCACGAATCTCCCCTCAGACAGAGCATATTGTGTTGTGCGTGCAACATGAGTGGGTACTTTTTGATTAAAAAAAAAATGTATAAAAAGAGATATGATAGGAAATAATCATAAAGGTATAAGGGCAATGAAAATTAATTACTTTTTATGATATTTAATAAAAGATATATTTAGTTCTCGATACTCCTGTGGCATCGAAAATATTTTCCATCTCCCAATATAACATATACTATTATATATTACTGAGGAAGTTATACTTATAACTTGTGTTTATTAGTCCTTTGTATTCTAAAGAGTTTCTGGGGCATTTGTAGGTTTCGTAAACAAAAAATTGTTTTTATTTAAAAACATGTTTATTTTTTTTATGATAATTAGATAAGTTTTTCATTAAAAAAAACTTCATAATAAATAATTTTATTACTTTTTCTTGATTAAAAGATTAGCTTATATATATACCTATATATATATATATATATATATAGGTAAAATCATTTCTGTAGCCGCCTTACGTACAACAACGACAAGTGTATGGTTATGATTTCCCACATTTAATGCTTTCATCCTTTGTATGGTTATGATTCTCCACATTTAATGTTTTCAAGTATATATGCAGAGACGGATTCAGGGAGGGCTAGGGTGGGGCACCGGCCCCCCAAATTTAAAGAAATTATATATATATATATATATATATATATATATATATAATAAAATTTGAATAATATTATTAAATTATTTGTTTTAAAAAAATTATAATATAAAATTACTCTTCATAACACTATTAGATATCACACTACACTCAATCTTTTTTTATTCCTATTTCTCTCTCTCTCAACTTTAACAAACCCTCATTACCCATATTCAACCCATGGACCCCAACGCCATTAAATCTCCTCGGAGGTCTTTCTCTATCTCTATTTATTTTTGTTTTTTTATGAAATTAACAATGTTGCTCCCCGCTATTCCTATTTGATTGTTTTGTCTCGAAAGTCAAAACCCGTTTATATCATCCTTATTTTGAAATCTGCTCATATCATCCATGTTTTGGTTATTTTTTCAAAATGGATTTGTTTTTTCTAAAGTTACTCTAGATAACTTTATCTAATGTTTATCAAAACGACGTCGTTTATATATATATGTCATTACATTAATTTTTAACGCTATTTATAATTGAATTCTTAATTTGGTCCACAATCATTTTATCTGTTTCATGAACAACCGTATTCGGATCCTATCCCTAAGCAGTGTGGTTTTGGAGTGTTTAGGTGAATGGCTAGCAGAAAAGATAGATGCGCCACTTTATAGCTACCCACTCTCGCTGCTTAAGCCTTGGAGCGGTGAAAATCCACGCATAAGTGGTAGATTTACAGAACTCTATCTTACTTAACAAACTATCCTAACATGACGGCCAACCATGCATGATCTTGATGGATATAAAAGGCACTGGCATGAATATATGGCATCTTGAAGGATAACCGTTCAAGATAGTATCATAACTGTTTGTTTTCTTTTAGAGAAAGGTACGAATGATAAATCCAAATCATCTTTTTCCAAAAGGTGGAAAGTATTTGAAAGGAGAAGACAGCTTTAAGCGATTAAGAGGGAGGTCGTTTATCTTAATGAGTAAGCTAAGTGTTTGATCGAAACAAGGAAATGATTAAATGAAACCTTTTTTTTCTGATTGTTTGTTTACATGTCATGTCTTCTTGAAGGGTAATTCTTACGAGTATGACTCCTATTTCGTATTTAGTCAACAACGTGAATCTAACTGTGTAATAATATACGTATGCTACGAACCTTGAGGTCATCACCCAAAAGCTAGCTCAAAGGGTGGGAGTGCCCAAGGTTTTTTAAACCACACATTAGTTGTATAGGCAACCAATGTGGGACTTGTAGCATTGCCACCCCTTTAAAGGCCGATGTCCACGGCGGCTTTCACTCTATCAACACTGACCCGACGGTAGAGCTCTTTTCTCGTGGGCGGCTTCACTCACCTATCAGTATTCAGTGCCCAAAGGCACCTTAATCCAGCCTATAGGTAGCCCTTTCCGTGGTCTCAACTCTCAACGAAAGCACCAATTGTTACGGACAATGAGGTCACCACCCCAAAAACTAGCTCAAAGGGTGGGAGTACCCAAGGCCTTTTAAACCCCACATTAGTTGTATAGGCAACCAATGTGGGACTTGTAACAACGTACTCCTAAAACGGTGATGATGCTTTTGTATAGTCTGATTAACATACAAAGCTCGCTAGTCAGCTTTGAAATTAACACAGTATAATAAATTAACACATCATTTTTCCTCAGCTGGAGTCCAAATTGGAAAAGAAAGATTGAGAACCAGGGTTGACCAAAAGCGTTTCATTTTAAGAGAAGGGGACTGAAGTAACGTGGCACATGCTTTTGTGTTTGTTGAAAAGGGAATCACAAATCATTTTCATGTCTACATTTTTTTCCTGGCACGTCGGTTCATCGCAATATCAATTATCATGTACATCAGCTCTTTTGTTTTACACGTACTTCTACCATGGACCATGGAGAATATTTGAAGTTTTTCACACTTATAAGTTTTGGTGTACAAAAGTTTATTTTAAAAAGTGTTTGGCATTGGGATGGTTTATGCAAGAAGTTGTCGGTAAAACCACATAGACAAATTTAAGTGGGTTATTCAAGTGTGATAAATTTCACGTTGGTTGGTAATGAGCTAAGTAAAGTGTATATAACTAGGAGAACCCATGAACTCAATCCTTAAGGTTTTGAGTTGAGATGTGGTGTCGGACCCACTTACTACAATTAGAGTAGCTTAGCTCATTGATGGTGGTATCCCGTCACGAGCTTCCCCTAGACCCGCCTAATAGTGGTTTTAGAGTCGGGTTGGGCTCGGACTAGGCAAGTGTTTGTCTAGGAGACGAGTTGAGTAATTTGGGCCTGAGTACTCGGTTGAGGGAAGACATACCAATGATGGATTTCACACCTGAGGGGTGAGTCTCATATTGTTTGATAATGTGCTAAGTGAAGTGGATATAAATGGTTGGACTCATAAATCCAATACATTAAGATTTTGAGTTATAATATGGTGTTGGACTCACTTGATATGAATGGTTTAGCTCCACCTATTGGTGGTAGTTTCCAGCCACGGGCTTTCCGAAACCCGCTAACAACATCGCCTAGCAAATGACATCATGAAGGAAAATTTAATTGGCAATATTAATTTATGGAAATTAAATATTTTCCAACATTAAATTATAATAGTATTCCGTTAGGTTTATAAACTAAGCTCCTCTATTATAGTTAGAACTTCTCATAGTAATGCTTTTATAGTCGGATTGAATTTGGAACCGATAAAGAGGGAATTTTAAGGTTTTAAGGTTCAAAAGGAGTTGAATTAGAATTTGTACATTTGTATATATTGGGTGGGAGATGTTATATGTAAGAACCTGCACCGTTAAATTAGAAATTTAATTAATTAATTACGAGATTGATAAGATAATTCCACAATTGACCCTAATGATTATAAGAAGGCTTAAATAATTATGGTAAGTGATTAATAATGATGGAAGTTGCTTTTCTGACGAAAAGTGCAGATACCGGTTCTTCTCAACGGTATAAATGCGTATCGGTGAAGTATCTCGGAAAATTATAATAAGTGTGGGAATAATCCTAGAATAATATATAGGACTAGCATAACAAGTTTCAAGTTAAAATAATGAGAACTGGCGTCAGAACTGAGGCTTCGTAAAAGCGCGTACCGGCAAAGTACTGCGAAAAATAAAATAAAAATATGAAAAATCCTAGAAAAATGGCTAGGTTCAGAATCTCAAGTTTGAGATTAAAATGCTAAGCGTAGCTATTAGTGCTAATACTGTGTATTTAAACTTAATTGGGCTATAAATACATCTTTTGGCCCAAAACCCTGGGCCATACTCAGATTTCTACGTGGACCATTTCTGATATGGAGCTCTCCACCTTGATGCCATATTCCTCTCCCCTCATGGCTTGAGTCTTTTGCTTGTAGACACCAAATGCATCATTTTTACTCTTGATTTCTTCTCCTCTTCCTTGCAAACACTGAATGGTTAGCCTTGTGTGTGAGTTTGACATATCATTTCTGAGTTTGAGCTATTGTTTTTGAGGTTTCGGGGGCTGAGTTGTAGGTTCTCCTTGTGAAGGCCATTGTCTTGGCATTTTAGGCTTCAAGAAGCCATTTTGGTGGTGAAAGGTCCAAGCTTGTAAGCCAAATTTGTGGCTTGGCAAAGTCAGAACCTTGGTGTTGTGTTGGAGGCTTAGAATCTGTCACATTTTTTAAGTTTTGAACCTTGGAGGTAAACCATGATCACCTCTTTGGTATTTTCATGATTTAAGCTTGTTTAATCCATTAAAAAATAAAACTTGGATCGTTTGAGTTAAGGACTGTGTTTTTGAGTCTTAAACATGTTAATGAACATCTGTTTATGGAGTCATTGGACTCCAAATCGAGTTTGGACCCTTATATATGAACTTATGCAGAGAATGCACGAATTTCTGCATTCTGTCTGATAAGTATTCGAATACTTTTCGTGTAGTATTCGAATACTTATCCTTCAGTAGTTGAATACTCCTTGGAGGAGTATGGGAATACCTTTCTGGGAAGAAAAGTATTCGAATACCGTTGATTAAGTATTCGAATACTGGGTAGTATTCGAATACTGTGG